TGCCTAGGGGCCCCAAATGTCACAGTGCAGCCAGGCAGGAAAGTATGCCCCCTTGGTATACAGTACTGAAGCACCCAGACTCCAGTACCACAAACAGACCTGTCAGCTGGGCCTGCCACCCAAACAGCACCCCTCCCCCCTCCCCCCCAACACAAATAAAGCCGCAAAGCCCTGCCCTAGTGCTGACCCAGTGGGCGGGGCTGCTTCCGGCCCAGCCCCACCTCCTACCAAGGGCACTTTGTTAGGGGTGCTGAGGTGGCTCAGCTGCCTGGCCCAGCCCTCCAACCCTCAGCCCGCCCCTTAGCCCGCCCCCAGACTGGGTGGGGTGACCCCCTACAAAAGCTCAGAGTTTCCAGCAGCAGTTTCCTCCAAGAATCTGGTGCAGCTGTGGGCAGAGTTGAGGAACAGAATCTTGCTGAGCCCTGCCTAGGCCCTCACCCTGGGGTCAGGAAGTTTGGAGGATGAGGCCCTTCAGCCCTGAGGTCAGCAGGGACATGTGGGCAGACTGGTGGGTATAAAAGGAGGGTTGGGCTGACCTGTCTTTGGTCACTGAGCATCTCCTCCTCCAATGGCTGGCCAGGATTCCTTCAGGGAGAGACAGGAAAGGATCCCCCCACCATCACAGTCAGGTCAGCCTAGGGGCTGAGGGCCTGGCTCTCAACAGCTCTTCTCAAAACAGGTGTCATGGCTTCTGTGGCTCTTGGGGAAGGGGATTGGTTAGCTTAGGCCAGGGCAAAGTCTGTGAGAGACAGGGGCCAGAGGCCCCTCCAGTGGCAGTGCTACCCCTCCAAGCCTCTCATTTGCCCTCTGACCTCCCTGAGGCCTGCAGGTCAGTGTTTACCTAAAGCCAGAGCAGGGGTGGATTAATGAGCAAGGGGTTTGGCCAGCTTTCCCTGAGCAGGGGTCAGAGAGTTCAGGGCCTACTCTCAGCTTTGCCTCCCCTGGCCAGGTTTCCCTAGAACCACCCTGTGCCATGGCAGTCCACCTGCTTCCCATCTGCACCCTCTTCCTGACCTTGCTCGACAAAACCCAAGGCTCCAGGAGCCCCATGGTACCCAACCAGCCCTTCACCACCATCTGGAATGCAAACACCCAGTGGTGCCTGGAGAAATACGGCGTGGACGTGGATGTCAGTGTCTTTGATGTGGTGGCCAACCCAGGGCAGACCTTCCGCGGCCCTGACATGACCATTTTCTATAGCTACCAGCTGGGCACCTACCCCTACTACACGTCTGCTGGGGAGCCTGTGTTTGGTGGCCTGCCCCAGAATGCCAGCCTGGATACCCACCTGGCCCGCTCATTCCAGGACATCCTGGCTGCCATACCTGCATCTGACTTCTCAGGGCTGGCAGTCATCGACTGGGAGGCATGGCGCCCACGCTGGGCCTTCAACTGGGACGCCAAGGACATTTATCGGCAGCGCTCACGGTCACTGGTGCAGGGGCAGCATCCCGACTGGCCAGCTCCTTGGGTGGAGGCTGCAGCTCGGGACCAGTTCCAGGAGGCTGCACAGGCCTGGATGGCAGGCACCCTCAAGCTGGGGCAAGCACTGAGGCCTCGTGGCCTCTGGGGCTTCTATGGCTTCCCTGACTGCTATAACTATAACTTTCTAAGCCCCAACTATACAGGCCAGTGCCCCCCGGGTATCTGTGCCCAGAATGACCAGCTGGGGTGGCTGTGGGGTCAGAGCCGTGCCCTCTACCCCAGCATCTACATGCCTGCAGAGCTAGAGGGCACAGGGAAGGGACAGGTGTATGTGCGGCACCGTGTAGGTGAGGCATTCCGAGTGGCTATGGGTGCTGGGGACCCGGATCTGCCAGTGCTGCCCTATGCCCAGATCTTCTACGATGGGACCAACCACTCTCTGCCCTTGGTGAGTCTCCCTCTATGACCCCATTCACCTTGTAGCCTACCTTGTCAGGCATCACGTTCAGTAATTGAGGCCACATGGCCTTGGGGCACTCATCCATTCTCCGTTCCTTGAGCTCCTACTGTGTGCCATGCTCTGTGCTCGGCACAGATGATTCTGCATTCATCAGAAAGATGCAGTGCCTGCTGCACAGCACTCACAGGCTAGGGTGAGGACGGGCTTGCCTCTCGCCACCAGGGCCAGAGCAGCTCAGGTGGGGGTTATGAATTATTTGTCCCATCCAGTGTTGTTACAGCAACCTGCTGTGGGGAGGGAGGGAGGCCCCTCAGAGCTATGTCCCTTTCCTCAGGATGAGCTGGAGCACAGCCTGGGGGAAAGTGCAGCCCAGGGGGCAGCAGGAGTGGTACTCTGGGTGAGCTGGCAGAACACAAGAACAAAGGTGAGCTCAGGCCCAGGAGGGAGGTTAGGGTGGGGGCAGGGGTGGAAGTGCCAGGCTGACTGGCAAGACCCTGACCCACCCTTTGTATCCCTTCGATCCTGGCTGGCCAGCAGGTGAGTGCCTCGGTGCCCTAGGTAGGCCCATGCATGGCCATGATGTCCCTTTTGCTCCCCTTCCCATTCAGGAATCATGCCAGGCCATCAAGGAGTATGTGGACACCACACTGGGGCCCTTTATCCTCAATGTGACCAGCGGGGCTCTTTTGTGCAGTCAAGCCCTGTGCTCAGGCCATGGTCGCTGTGCTAGGCGCCCCAGCCACCCTGAGGCCCTCCTCATCCTCAACCCCACCAGTTTCTCCATCCAGCCCACACCTGGGGGCGGGCCCCTGACCCTACAAGGTGCCCTCTCACTTGAGGATCGGATGCGGATGGCTGTGGAGTTCAAATGTCGCTGCTACCGTGGCTGGAAGGGAGCATCATGTGAGAAGCAGGGCACGTAGTAATTGGGCACACACTAAGATACATACATTGAACATCTTGTTGACGTTAAAAATAAAACTTATTTCACCAGCAAAAATGGGTTTAATAAGGAACAGTAGAGAACTGCAACTTGAGACATGTGAGCTATTACAAAACCAAAGAGGAGGAGCGCTCTTTTACAGCGGAAAGGGGGGAGTTTGAAGGGCCTATTATAAACAGAAAGTCCATTGGAGTAAACCTGGAGTACAAAGTGTAGTGGCTTTTCATTGATTGAGTTATGACAGTCTCTCACTAGCTAAGCTGTTGTCAGGCAATGAGAAAACCTTTCCTCCTGCTGGGGTAGTAAAGTAGGCTTCTCCCTGTTGGGTCTGCAAAGGGGTGCAAGGACTGGCATGTGTGAGTTCCCCCATCTAGCCTCCCGACTCCATTTTAAATGAGGTTTCCTCTATTCAGTTTCACAACCTAATGCACCGTGAGCCTGGCCACAGCTTTCTCAAGTACAAGCAGCCACACAAGTCATGGTCACAGCCAGGAGTACATTCAGCCACGGTCATGAGCATATGCCTGCACATGCTTACAGACCGGAATAGCTGCCTAAGGGGTTAGAGCCTTCAGCACCCACCCAGCAGGGTCATAAACATCTCCAGAGACACTAAACCGGTCTTTAAACTGTAGCAATCACAAGAACTGACATACACTGAATACCTACGCTTCCTTAAGTCTTGTGTTAAGTATTTTAAGTAGACTAATGTATTCGATCCTAACACCAGGTTATGAGGAAACTGAGGCACACACTGGGAGGGCAAACACTTTGTCCAAGGCTGGACAGCCAGAAAATAGAGAAACGGGGATTCGAACCCAGGCTGTCTAGCTAGAGGTAAAGCACTTTGGCTCCTACTGTGTGTTGACAGTAACCAGCCCTGCACGCAACCTGCTCAAAGGCACCAGGCTCGCAAATAAAGCAGACACGATTCTTGCTTCAGGAGCTATTAATGGAGTGCCTAAAACGTGCAGGCTCCGGGATCCAGAGGGCACAGGAAAGGCTCATCTCTATCACTAAGTCCTGACGTCTGTCCGAGGGCGGCTGCTTCCGAGGATGGGGCCCAAATTTCAGGAGGAAGCTCTACCTGATTGTTTCCACAACGGACATCTTACCCCACGGGGTGCCAACAGGAACCGAGATCTGCCTGAGCCTGGGGTGGGGCGAGGTGAAGTGAGGCGAGGCGGAAGTGGAGCCGGATGGAGGAGGGGCCTGTACCGGGCCAAGGCTTTGACGCGATAGGCCCGGGTAGGGCCTCGAAAGAGCGGAATCCGGAAGGATCTAAGCGATGCCCAGGGGCCAGAGACTGGCCCTGCAGGCGACGGAAAAGAGGTGGAGCCTGCTCTGGGTCCCAGCGGGGCATACGCAGGGAGCAAGGAGCTATGGCTCCGGAAGGGCTGGAGGGGCAGAGACGCAGCCAGGGAAGAGACTGGGTCTGCGTCGGCTGTGTTATGACGCCCTGAACTGGGGGCGGAGCCTAAGCGGTGGCGCGCGGAGGCGGGGTGGGGCCTGGCTGCCTAGGAAGAGTCTGTACCAGAGCTGCGGAAGACGACGGCTGCAGTGCGACCGCCGCACCGCTAGGGGCCAGCGCGGGCGGTCAGAAGAGTCCAAACCACACAGACAACGAGAAACCGACCCGCGCAGAGCGAGCACGCGGAGCGTCCCGGAGGAGCTTGGCTTCAGCATGTCAGTACCCTTCGCACGTGCCGTATGTTAGTCCACACTGTCCCCGGTCTGCCCCGTGCGTGCGGTCCTCAGGTAGCAATGCCGTCCCGCACCCCCTCCCTGCATCAGTTTCTGCGTTCTCTCCCAGAGCATGCCGAGCCACACCCACCCAGAGTCAAGCTGCCGAAGCACCCCCCCCAAAAAAACTTAATGGTTTGTCACCCACTAGGAGGGAGGGGGAAACCGAGCCACCGAAGACACTGCCGCCTCTCCCTGAGGACACAGGAGCTCCTCCCATAGTGGGTGGGGTCGGCACCGAAGGGGTTAAGTCCGCGGGGAAGCCTGGGACTCCAGGTCTAGGTGCGAATCCTGGGGTATTCTCCCTCTTGGCACAGAGCTGTAGCTGCTTCGCAGGTGGCTGATGCAGGTGAGGTGCTTATAGCCTTTTGAGTGGGGCGTGGGGGTTGTGGGGGCTACTTGTTCCTGACCAGTGTGGAATTGCCTCAAGTTCAGGGGGCCTTCTTGGGGAGGTGGGGAAGGAGAGCCAGGACGTCCTCTCTGGAGCAGGTGAGTAGAAGACGAGGGCCCAGTGGATTTCCCACCAGGATCTCCCCAGCATAGACCCTCCTGGCAGAAGAGCCTGGGGTAGGATTGGCAAACAATGGGGTTTAGGCGCAGGAGGTCTGAGCCCCCAACCTGGTGGCTGTTGGACACTTGTGGATTTAGGAAGGAAGTTGTGGTCCTTATCTAGGGCGACTACGAAACTCAGGCCAGTGGGGAACGAAGCCTGCAAGAGCCACATTGCTGTGTGACTGTGAGCCAGGCGCCTTGCTAGTGCTGCTGGAGCCCCATCTGAAGGGACTCCTGAGTCCATGCCCAAGCAGAGTGACCTGAGCTGCACAGTGCTGGGGAGGGGGCCATGGGCTTTGTGCTTCAAGCAGGAAAGGCAGTTCAGGGAGAGGAAAACTGATCCTAACAGGTGGTTGAGTGGTGCCCCAGGACTGGTCAGGTGGCAGTCGTGGCCCAAGTGGTGAGAAAGGCTGGGACCTAGAATAGAGAGAAGGAAAAGGCAGGGGAGTTCCTGGGGTCAACCAGAGGGAGTCTTGGATGGATTTAAGTAGGTAGGAGGTCATGGTGTCTAGTCTGCATGTTCTGTCTGATGGCCAGCCAGCCATGATGGTGTAGGCTAGATCCCCTGTTCTGGGAAGGACAAAGTTGTAGCCACAGAAAGCTGGGGCCAGGACTCTTGGGTTCTGCCCCAGCCTTTAGCCTTCAGCTTCCCTGCAATGTGGGGCAGGACACCCTGGACCCATTACCTCTGCTGTCACTTGTGTGAGTCACCTGAGTCAGTTATAGGGGATGGTCTCCAGGTCACCTGTGCCATCAGGTGAGTATGGGATGGAGACAAGGTGTAGACCAGTTCCAGGATGCATGGCTCCCCCAGCACTCTGTCAGCCCCTCCCTGCCCCAACACTGTCCTCTTTCCTGACACAGCCTAGCATGGCTGTTGTCTCCAAGAGGAGCAACCTTGTGGTCTGAGGAGGTACCACTGTCTAGAGACTGTGCTTTTTAATCCCCAGCCTGGCACTGAGCCACCTGCAACCCAGCAGGAGATGACCTTGGGTCTCAGCCTGACTCAGCTGAGCCTGGATCCTACATGTAGGCAAGAGCTAACTCTGAGCCCTGGCTCACCAAAGCTGACCCCTCCCCTAGACCCTACACACCAGATAGAGCTGATCCTGAGTGTCAGCCCAGCCGAGCTGACTCTGGATCCTGCATGCCAGTCAGAGTTGACCCTGCGACCCAGCCTGGCCACGCTGACCCTGGATCCTGCACACCAGCCAGAGGAGACCCCAGCCCCCAGCCTGGCTGAACTGACCCTGGAGCCTGTGCACTGCCGACCTGAGCTCCTGGATGCCTGTGCTGACCTCATCAATGAGCAGTGGCCCCGCAGCCGTGCCTCCCGCCTGCACTCCTTGGGCCAGTCCTCAGATGCCTTCCCCCTCTGCCTGATGCTGCTGAGCCCCAGCCCCACACCTGAGGCAGCCCCCATTGTGGTGGGCCATGCCCGCCTGTCACGGGTGCTAGACCGGCCCCAGAGCCTCCTAGTGGAGACAGTGGTTGTGGCCCGGGCTCTCAGGGGCCGTGGCTTTGGCCGCCGCCTTATGGAGGGCCTGGAGGTTTTTGCTCAGGCCCGGGGCTTCCGCCGACTACACCTCACCACCCATGACCAGCTGCAGTTCTATGCCCACCTGGGCTACCATCTAGGTGAGCCTGTGCAGGGCGTGGTCTTCACCAGCCGACGGCTGCCTGCCACCCTGCTCAAGGTCTTCCCCAGAGCCCCCTCTCCCCGGCCACCCTGCAAGGCTTCTAGCCTGGCTGCCCAGACTGCCCCAAGACTCCCCAAGGGGTCATCATTGCCACCACCTCCTCCCCTGCCTGAGCCCTTGACCACTTCACCCCCACCTCCTGCAGGGCCCCTTCCAAAAAGCCTGCTGGAGACACAATACCAAGACCTGAGAGGATGTCCCATATTCTGGATGGAAAAAGACATCTGAGGGCTCCCCAGGACAAGGCACTGTCCTTCAGGGTTGATGCAGTACAAGCCTCAGCCCGTTGGCCTTACCTCAGTCCCTAGACCTTGGGGGCAGCTGTAGCCTGACCATGTTTCCTGAATACCAGTGAGGCCAGGAGATGGCTTCATGGCTGTGGCTCAGAGCTGTCAGTGTGGCTGAATAAAGGTTTCTGTTGGATGTGCCTGTGACAGTTTGTTTGTTGACCTCACCCTCACCTCCCAGTTTCACCCTAGATACCTTATCTCTGCAAGAGCCCCCAGATCCACCTTGGCCCTAGGGCCATGGATGAAGAGACACCTGCCCTTTGCCCCTCCCACTCTGCCAAGCCCAGGTTACAAGGTGTCTGTTCCCTTCCACATTCACTCATCACCATTCACTCAGAGCCAACTGTTTGTCAGCCCTGGACTGGGCACAGGCAATGGGGAACTAGACAGACAGCATCTTGGCCCAAGGGACAGGGGAAACAGGGAAGCATACAGTGGCAGGATCCATGTTGGGACAGTGGGAGCCCAAGTGCTCTCAGTCCATTTGGAGGCCCTGGGACGCCTCCCAGGGGAGGTGATGTCACAGCAGACATCTGAGAGCTAAGTAGGAATTAAGCCCGGCAAAGGGGAGAAGTGAGTAGGCTAGGTGTCAAAGGGCACAGTTGTACCATGACAGATGGGCAGCATGGGAGAGGAGCTACCTGGGCCAACTTAGGGTGTGACTGGTCTGAGAGGCCTAGAGGACCACATGGGGACTATCCTTTCCCCAGCCCCCATCCTTGGGAGTTGTTGGGGGAGTGTTCCCAGCTTTCCCTGCCATATAGGAGGTGTGGCCATGGCCACAAGTCTTAATTCACACCCCTTCTCTCCTGCAGGTTTCTGTCCCTGGGGCATGATCATGCAACTGGGCCTGGCCCTGGTGCTAGGAGTGGCCCTTTGCCTGGGGTGTGGCCAGCCCCTCCTATGGGCTCCTGACCGCCCTTTCTCTGTGCAATGGAACATACCCTCAGCACATTGTAAGACTCGCTGTGGTGTGCACCTGCCACTAGAGGCTCTGGGCATCACAGCCAACCATGGCCAGCATTTCCATGGGCAGAACATCACCATCTTCTACAAGAATCAGCTCAGCCTCTATCCCTACCTTGGGCCCAGGGCCACAGCTCATAATGGAGGCATCCCCAAGATTGTCCCTCTTACCGCCACCTGGCACAGGCTACCTACCAGACCCATCTCAACCTAGAATGTGGCTTCACTGGCCTGGCAGTGCTGGACTGGGAAGAGTGGTGCCCACTCTGGGCCGGGAACTGGGGCTGGTGCCGAGCCTACCAGGCCACCTCATGGGCTTGGGCACAACGGGTATTCCCCCACTTGAACCCCCAGGAGCAGCTCCATAGGCCAGTGTTAGCTTTGAACAGGCAGCCCATGCCCTGATAGAGGACACACTGTGGCTGGGCCAGGCACTGAAGCCCCATGGGTTCTGGGGGTTCTGTCGCTTCCCAGAGCCTGTGGCAATGGCTGGCACGGTACAGCTTCCACCCAGGCCACTGCCACCCAGCCACTCTAGCCTGCAACACCCAACTGCATTCGCTCTGGGCTGCCTGCCTCCAGCGCCCTCTTCCCCAGCATTTATCTCCCACCCAAGCTGCCACCTATTCACCACCAAGCATTTGTCCAATATCGCTTGGAGGAAGCCTTCCATGTGGCCCTTGTTGGGCACCCACATCCCTTGCCTGTCCTGGTCTATGCCCGCCTCACACACCAGCGTTCTGGGAGGTTCCTCACACACCTCGTAAGTGAACATTGAGATCTAGGGGTCTGAGTGGGGAGTCCTGGTCCTGTCCTGGGAACGTCTGAAGAGAAGACCTTGCCCAGGGGAATTTGATGGGAAGACCCTGATCTAGTTCTGAGTGGGGAGATCCCATCCTGGAGCATCTGAAAAGTAAGTATGGCTCTGCCTTGGAAAATCTTGAGGGGAAGGCAAGGCCCAGCCTTTGGAGCCCTGGTCTTAGGGGAGACATTTTCTGAGTGGAGAACCCAAGAAGCCATTCAGAGGCTCAGTGCCAAGTAATCTTACTCTAGAGGTGGAATTAGATCATGGTAATGAGCCAGAAAAGTTTCTCAAAGGTGGAGGTAGGCCCAGATGGATCTGACCAGCCCATCCCTGGCTTAGCAGTTCTTTGTTTCCAGGATGACCTTGTGCAGACGACTGGTGTGAGCGCAGCACTGGGGGCAGCTGGCGTGGTGCTCTGGGGGACCTGAGCCTCTCCATCTCTGAAGCGGTCATTGCCCCTCCAGCCTGCCATGCAGCCCATCCTGGGATCCCAAGGTTGGGGGGAGAGACCATGTCAGAGCCAGGGAGCAGGAGTATTGCTACATCCTTCCCCTCCTCAGGAGAAATGCTGGCATCTCCATGACTACCTAGTGGGCACCCTGGGCCCCTATGTAAACAATGTGACCAGAGCAACCATAGCCTGCAGTCTCCAGCGGTGCCATGGCCATGGGCGCTGTGCCTGCCAAGACAGAGGACAACTGGAAGCCTTTCTGCACCTGCAGCCAGATGGGAGGCCTGGAGCCTGGGAGTCCTTTAGCTGCCGTTGTTACCGGGGTTGGGCTGCCCTTACTGCCAGGAGCCTAGACCTAAACCTAGGCCTGAAGAACCAGCATAAAACCAGAGGTTACCTGCCCCTGACTCTCTTGTCCCTGCTGCCATTTTTCCAGTCCTGGAGAGACGGCTCTGTCCCACTCTTGTTCTATTCAGTTTAGCATCAGTCCTCCCATACACACACTCCCTTCCCATGGGGTACCTGGGGAGTGGAAGGGGCCAGGGAAAAAAAATGTTGACACCCTTTTATTTTGCTTACACCATTTTAAAACCAAAGGTCCTCTGAGGCCACTTGATCTTTCCTGATAAGCAGCCCCTGGGAAAGTCCGAGTTCCAGATGGTTAGAGGTGCCAGCTCAGAGCTCTGTTCCTGCTCCTCACTGGGCCCACAGAAAGGTCTCAGGAGACCTGTCCAGGGACAGGTTATCTCCAAGATCTTGGCTAAGGTCTGTAAGTGCTAAGGTGTTATTTGTGCTCTGCTTCAGCATAAAGTCACTTTTTCTTTCACTGCCTAAAGTTTGTTCACCAAGTTCCACTAAACTCCAAGTTCTTCCTGTCCATCCACAAATGCCCAGAAACACTGGTCCTGCCTGACGTGGTAGGCTGCTCCATAGGCACAGCTTCAGAGTTAACTATATGCATGCACCTGGGCGTGCGGGGGGCGGGAGATGTACCTAGGGCATTGTGGGTGCATAGTTCAGCTAGAGCGTCGTGGGCTTATGGGTTTCAGGAGTAGACTACAATTCCCGAGGTGCTCTGCGCCTAGCCGGCAGGCGGTCATCTGCGCGCGCAGCCCCCTGGGACTAGTAGTTTCGGCCGCGTGCATGTGGTCCTGAACCCAATGGCCAAGAACTCGCCTTCCCGGCCACCCGTTTAGTAGGGCGGGGCGCAGCGACTCGTTTGGCAGGGCGGGGCGCCTCGCGAAGATGGTGTCGCGTGCGGCGTGTGGCTCCCGTCGTCTGCCCAAGTCTCAGCTTAGCCCACCGACCGGTGTCTCGCCGGTCTGGAGCCCCCGCCCGCCAGGTCCCTGACCCTGAGCCTTGTGCGCGCCCGCGCTCCTGATTCCCGGCATGCCCCGCGCCCGTAAGGGCAGCGCGCCCCGAAAGGGCGGCCAGCGCCGAGGAGCGGGTAAGTGGGGAGCTACTGATGAACGGCGAGCGGGGGTCCAGCATGGCTTACCTGTCAGTGTTACCGGGGGTCCTGGGCGGAGACTCCTGTGTCTACCAGCCTGGCTCTGCGGGAGTCCCGCCACTCTCCCGCGGCCAGCACGTGCCCCGGGACAGTGGCCACGTGTGCGCCCAACTTGATTGCGCTGCTTGCTGCTCAGGAACCCACGCTACCGGCCCTACACTGGTCGGTGCCTCTCGGCCTCAGTTTCTCCATTGTCGATCCACCCCAGTTACCTGCTGTGATAGACAAACCTGCCAGACAGCAGGAAGCCTGCCCCCTCTCTAATCCCTGCCCTTTTACTAGACTGGACTAGGAAACTGGTGGGAGGGCTGGCCTGACGGAAAGTACTGAGATAGAGGGCGAACTGGCGGAGGGGTGGGGGGCGATGGGGACGTTGCAGGATTCCGGCCTTGGTGGACCTGGCCCGAGAGGGTTGGGGAGTGCCCTTGAGCCTGAGCAGTCCTGAGACTTATCAGCTTTGAACAGAAGTGTGTCTTGGTGCAGTAAACACATATGTTTACTCTGCAGGAACAGGGTGCCTGCTGGGTACAGCTTAGACCTGGACACCACCCTAATGGGACTTGGGTATGGGGACATCTAAGAGGGTAGCAACATTACAGAAGGACTGGTGCTGGGGGGACAGGTTCACTGAATGATGTCAGCCCCAGACTTAAGAACAAAGGAATCCTTAAGGGGCTTCTAGGTGAACCCTGAGGAGGTGAAGAGAGTGCTATGCAGAGGAAATAATTTGTGCAAAGGCCTCGCATTTGGAGGGAGCAAATTAGGGAGGCTGGGAAGCTTTGGCGGGTTAGAGTAGTAAGAGAGGAGGTGAGCAAAAGCCTGCATGCATGCTGGACTTTGTGCAGCAGGCACATGGAGTATGTAGTTTCTGAGAAGTAGGACCGGCCTGGTGACCAGAACCCACACACAGGAGCATTCTAACTCTGCTGATCCTGACATTCTCCTGTGTTTACCTATTTTCAGGGACTCATGTGTCAGGGGTCACTCCATTCTCTGCATGTCCTGAGGTCAGGAGGAGCCTGTGTGTCCATACACTGAGGGCTGAAGGCCTGGGATGGTCCAGGGGGAGCTCAGAAGATAGTATGCTTGGAAGCCTGGGGCACCCAGCCACATCCACCAGGAGCTGAGCTGGGCTTCTGCCCCAGAGCAGATGGGCAGTTGTGGGCCCACAGAAGAGCCTTAACTGGTCGTTTATTTAGTCATCTAGTCATCGTCTTTACTTGCTGTACTACGTGAGGTGCTTTAGCATCTCTGTTTTGCAGATGAAGAACTTAAGGTGTTGGGAATGCCTGAGTGGCTCAGTCAGTTAACCCTCTGACACCCTGCTTGGGTCTTGATCTCATGGATTTATGGGTTCAAGCCCTGCCTTGGGCTCTGTGCTGACATCTCAGAGCCTGGAGCCTGCTTCAGATTCCGTGTCTCCCTCTCTCTGCCCTTCCCCTGCTTGCTCTCTCTCAACAATAAATAAATAAATAAATAAATTTTTAAGGCGTTGAAGGTTAGTCACTTGACCTGGTTACATGTACTCTTTTTAAGATAGGGAGCTGGAATTTGAGCCCTGTGTCTGTCTGTATATGTTCTGTATATACAGATTCAATAATCTAAACTTCTGACTTTTGCCCTGGCCATTTTTAGGCATAATCTGGGCTGGTGGCTAAGCTCCCCCTGGATTTGCCTAAATGTGTCCCCATTCCAAGTGGGGCCTATGCAGCCCCTTCTGCCTCTACCAGGCTCTCAGTCTTCTTCTTAAAGCAGGCTCTGGTCTCAGGGAGGCTTGACTCACCAAGCCTGCCAGGTTTCCTAGGCTGGGCCTATAAATGTTCTGCATTTCATAGACCTCACTCTCTTTCTCCTCTTTCCTGGCTCAGCGCCCCCTGCTGAGCGTCCCTGTGCCTACCACTTCAGTCTCTGGTTTTCTCATCTCTAAGAGGGGCAGGACTCTATTCTTGGGGGTCATGAGGCCGGGTGAGGTACCCCCAGCCATCACTCATCAGTAGAGGCAGGCCAAGTGCTGTGTTCTATCCTCCTCAGGTGCCCGGAGCAGTGCCCAAGCTGACTCCGGTTCCAGTGAGGATGAGGCAGTCAGTGAGGCCCGCAGCACCACCAGTGAATGCCCCAGCCTTCTTAGCACTGCCGCAGAGGACAGCCTTGGTGAGAGTGGGTGGGAGTTTGGCAGGGACTCTGTGGGGATTCCCTGGGGTAAAGCAAGACGCAGGGCTGACCAGCTGGCCTTGCAGGGGGGGATGCTGTGGATGAGCAGGGCCAGCAGGAAGACCTTGAGGAGAAGTTGAAGGAGTATGTGGACTGCCTCACAGACAAGAGGTACCCCTGACTGCCAGCCAACCCCTACACCCGTGTCCCTGCTCAGCCCATGCCAAGTGTGACCCAGTAGAGCTGGCACACAAGGTCCCTTTCTTCATTCCTCAGTGCCAAGACCCGGCAGGGTGCTCTTGAGAGCCTTCGCCTGGCCCTGGCATCCCGCTTACTCCCTGACTTCCTACTGGAGCGCCGCCTCACACTGGCTGATGCCTTGGAAAAGTGCCTCAAGAAAGGTTGGGCCCCGGGGGCTCATGGGAGACCTGAATTGGTTGGGTACTGACCCTTGCTGCCTGAGCTGACTTGGAAAGCATTCCTGCAGGGAAGGGCGAGGAACAGGCCCTGGCCGCCGCCGTACTAGGCCTGCTCTGTGTGCAGCTGGGCCCTGGACCCAAGGGCGAGGAGCTATTTCACAGCCTACAGCCCTTCCTGGTATCTGTGCTCAGTGATGGCACAGCTAGTCCTGCTGCTCGGCTCCACGTGAGTGATCTGTGCTCTGTGACACCCTTTCCTCCCCTTATCCCTAAGGAGAGAGGTGGGGTCCACCTGCTTTCAGGCTCCCTTACTCTGAGGGTGAGCTCCGTGGCTGAGAACCCAGGCTCAGTCTCTAACCATGGTGTGGCTTTGTCCTCCTCCCAACAGTGCGCTTCTGCTCTTGGCTTGGGGTGCTATGTGGCTGCTGCCGATGTCCAGGTAAGTGGCCTTTGGGCATGGGTAATAGAGCACCTAGACCCTGGCTCTGCCCCTGAGCTGTTCCTACTGCCTCCCTGTGTCCCTAGGACCTGGTCTCTTGCCTCAACTGTTTAGAAGGTGTTTTCAGCCGATCCTGTGGTATGGGTGGCTCCACAGCCCCTGTGGTCCCTGCCAGCCTGCATGGCCTGCTCTGTGCTGCCCTGCAGGCCTGGGCATTGCTACTTACCATCTGCCCTAGCACCCATGTCAGCCACATCCTGGACAGGTAAGAGCGACTGCCCGCTGTGAGTGGGAGGGGAAAGGTGAGGCTCCCCCAACCCACACATAGCTCAGCCTGCCCCTTCCCCAGGCAGCTGCCCCGGCTGCCCCAGCTCTTGTCCAGCGAAAGTGTGAACCTGCGAATTGCTGCCGGCGAGACCATCGCACTGCTCTTTGAGCTTGCCCGGGACCTTGAGGTGTGAGAGAGGGGTGAGGGGAAGGGAGGGGCCCTGCTGACACCACCTGTCCATCCTAGGCTGGATGCACGGGACAACACAGAAAAAAGCAGGACAGCTTTAGGTCCTCATGGAGGGGAGGCAGCCCTAACACAGACTCAGATGCCGGGTGCCATGGTGGGGACCCTGAGCCAGGGTATCTGGCCCAGGCAGGGGCCAAGAAGGAATTCAAGGGGGCCAAGGAGAGAAGAAAACCACTTGTTCCGAGATAGGAAGGGTTTGGGCAACCCCATGTTGAGAGCCAGCAAACCCCGGGCTTCTGCTCACACACCCCTCATTGCTCCCACCGCAGGAGGATTTTATTTACGAGGACATGGAGGCCCTTTGCAGTGCCCTGCGAACCCTGGCCACCGACAGCAACAAGTACCGTGCCAAGGCTGACCGCCGGCGGCAGCGCTCTACTTTCCGCGCTGTGCTGCACTTTGTTGAGGTGCGTGTGAGAAAATGTGTCCTAGTGAGAGTTCATCCCCTGGCACAGCCACCAAGCCCTGTTTTGTGGGTCCCTCTACTGTGCAGGGTGGTGACTGTGAGGAAGAGTCCGTCCGCTTCGGGCTTGAGGTGCTCTATGTGGACAGCTGGGCTCGGCGACGCATCTATGCTGCCTTCAAGGACGTGCTGGGATCGGGCATGCACCACCATCTCCAGGTGGGAAGGTGGACAGGGAGGGAGCACTCAGCTTGGCTGTTTTGGATCAGCTTGAGTTCACTGCCCTCTTTGTCCCCAGAACAACGAGCTACTCCGTGACATCTTTGGCCTGGGTCCTGTGCTGGTGCTGGATGCCACTGCCTTGAAGGCCTGCAAGATCTCACGTTTTGAGAAGGTTTGCACCCTTTGGGCACCTTTATATTCCCTCTGTTCCCACGGCCTGGAGGCCTGGAGCTCTGCAGGGGCTAGAGGAGAAAGCCCTGGGCCTCCCCTAGCTCACCCAGATCGTCACTCTCTGCCCCTACTCCAGCACCTATACAATGCCGCTGCCTTCAAAGCCCGGACCAAGGCACGCAGCCGTGTGCGAGACAAGCGGGCAGACATCCTGTGAGCTGGGGCCAGCTGAAGAGGAGACTGTCCACGCTCGTGCCTGTGTTTTTAACAGAAGACACTGCAACAACTGGTTGTTCCTGCCAGGAATTGTGGCTTTATTTTTTTAATGACAAAACCAAAAACAGGGGGGTAGTGTTGGAGGCCAGGGCACTTGGTATTCTGGCCCCTTGCCTCTGCACAGCCCTGTGGCTTCTCCCTGCCTTGTCTCAGGCCAGGCCAGATGTGTGCTTGTCCCAGGGCTGTGGGGCAGGCAGTAGGAAGGCTGTCCCTTTCTCTCCTTTCTGGGCCCCACTCCCCTGGGATGACCCACTTCCTTGAGGGGAATGGCATCTGGACAAATGCCACCAAGACAGGTGGGAGGCCAGGTTACCTGTAGTGGATCTATATGCTGATTTTTAAAGATTATTAGAGGTAATTAAACTGAATGCTCAGCCATCTGTGGCCCTTAGCTCCTGGGTGTTTCTGCCTGGCCTGCCATTCACCACTGCACTGGTCTCCCCTGTCTCCATCTCACCTTTGACCTCCAAGACCAGGTCCTCAAGTGGCCCTCCTCCCCATACTTCGCTCTGCCTGCTTGAAGTGCCGAGGCTGGACCCCCACTGGGAGGCCTGGCAGAGTTTGGGCAACTGGAGTTGGGGGGCAGCTATTTCTAGACTCTGAACCTATCTGGAGGAAGCCAGAGGCTGCTGTCAGGCCACGGAAGGAGCCAGGAAGCTGGTGTCCCTTCCTCTGACCTTGGGCCACCCAAAGCAGGACCTGGGCACCAGAAAACTTGGCCCGGCCTGGCTTGAAGACAGGAGAGGCAGGTAGCTGTGGGGTCAGATTAGACTCTTGTACAAAAATCTCACCAAGGAAGTAGTGTGGAGCAATGGGTAAGGAGAAACCTGCCAATGGCGACTTTATTACACACGCACGCGCGCGCGCACTCCAGGTTCAAATGGTATCTCAGCTGGGTGCTCGGGCCTCACTGGAGTTGAGCCTCCGCAGCTGGCTGAGGCTGGCGAGCCGGAGTTTGAGCAGCGTCTCCTCCTGGGTGCGCAGTGTGTGTGCCAGCATGCGGAGAGATTCACTCTGCAGCACTGTGGACAGGCGGATAGGAAAGGGGGACTGTCAGACCACAGGCTACCCCACAACTCCCCACCTCACTACCTCGGTCAGTTGTGCAGAAAGGTCTTGCAGTCCCAGTTACTCGCCCTCAGTCTCCCCGCCCCCCCCCCCCCCCGCCCCGGCTCCCCTCACCGTCCAGCCGTACCACTCAGGTAGACGGCCAGGATGGCGAGCGCCAGGCAGGTGAACACCAGCAATGCAAGCAGCAGGAAGCCTCCCCTGCCGTGCACAGGGCTGCAGCCAACCTGGGCACATAGCGACGGTGGCAAAATGCCCAGTAGCTCGTCCCATGGCTGCGCCTCTTCAGCCAGGTAGGGGCACAGCGAACCTGCAGGACAAACGGGGCATCAGGAGGGTAGGGGCTGTGCCTGCTTTCCTCCCCTCCCAGCACATCAGTCCCCAGCCCTGTGCCCCTCACCTCCACTGTGCAGGTCGCTGATGGACTCCACCTGGTGCAGGCGCACCTCCTGTATGTGGTTGGGGGCCAGTGGTGCCCTGATCCTTGGGCTCGGTGTTAGTGCCAAGGTGTCTGCTGGGACAGTGCAGGGTTGGGTCAGCCAGCAGGTCACCCCCTCCCTTCTTTAAGGTGGCTTCATGCGGCGACGGCTCAGAGAAGATGGGATAGGACAAAGGGACATTGGCTCCTAATGCCCTAAAACGAGCTCGGGAACATTTGATTCAGAGCCAGGAGGACCCCGGAATTCCTTAGGCCTGTTAACACACACAGTAGCAGGAGGTGCGTTTGACCTGCTCACTTTTGTTTCCTTCTAAGCACCTCAAGGACTTTTCAGGCATTCCTCTGCCTGCTCATTTCTAGAGAAGAGTGTGTCAGCTTTGAAAGACCAACGCCACAGTGCATGAAATTCATTCCTGCCTCCTCTGCTGTCAGTTTCCCCTGCAGACCCTGTGAGCTGGCCGCTAGGCCAGACCCAGTGCCTGGCAGCTCGATGTCTCCATCCTAGCTGGGGGGTGCTTGTGCCTTGTGGCCTTGGCTCTGCTAACATACTCAGCGTGATTCTGCTGTACTTCTGTGAACCCTGCTGTTTTCACTCAACATGTGACATGCCTTTGTCATCAAGCTGTTCTACATGCTTCTGAGGTCTCTCTTGAGGCATCCCTTTGAGGCTGCCTGGGCATTTAGGTTGTTTCCAGTTCCCTTTGGAAGTTAATAACTCCTAGGAAAGGACATGCATCATTGACTATGAAGGTTTTTCCCAATTTCCTAATTGTTAATAAGGACGGATTCCCAGAAGCAAAATTACTGGCTTAAAGAGCAGGGACTTTTTCTTTAAGCCATTATTAAGCTGTCCTCCAGACTAACTATCCACAACCCCCAAAAGGGTACAACGTCACCACCATTAGGCATTTTCAATGAAAACTTTATAGACATACATGTATACACATTTGCCAGTTGGGAGATGAGAAAAGGCTTTTTTTTTTCTTTTTACTTATTTGGGTTTCTTTGCCTAGAGGGCCTGATGGGGGTGTGTGTGTGCGGCTTCCTAATTATCCATTCACAGCCTCTGCCCCTTTAGTCACTGGGACCCCTGTACTTTTCTTGTGATCTTATTTTGGGATCCACCAAAAGTATTTATTTTGTGATTTCTAAAAAATTATATATTATTTACTTCCTTGACTTTTTAAAAAAATCTTGGTCTCTTAAACTTCCAGATACCCAGGGGCGCCCGGGTGGCTTAGTCGGTTAAGCGTCCGACTTTCGTTCAGGTCATGATCTCGCGGTTCGTGGGTTCGAGCCCCGCGTCGGGCTCTGTGCTGACTGCCAGCTCAGAGCCTGGAGCCTGTTTCAGAGTCTGTCACTCCCTCTCTCTCTGACCCTCCCCTGTTCATGCTGTCTCTCTCTCTCCTAGAAATAAATAAATAAAACATTTAAAAAAAAAAAAAAAACTTCCAGATACCCAGCTGGCTGCTAGGTATCTGTAGGGGGTATTGAGGGAACACCTGATAGGGGCAAAGGCAATTGGACTCTATCACTTTCAGAACAATAACAGCCTTCATGAACTGCTTGAAACTGCCCCTTGAAATGCTCCAAAATAAAATAAGATGCTGCCAGTCATTATGTTTGGGTCAGGGGTCATATTATATTCCTCTGCACTTGGCTCTGCTTTCCCAACACTTTTTTTTTTTAATGTTTATTTGAGAGAGAGAGCAAGCTTGCCCTTTTGGGAGTTTGGGAGGGGCAGAGAGAGGGGGAGAGAGGGAATCCCAAGCAGCCTCCACTAGCACTGTCTGTGCAGAGTCCCATGTGGGGCTTGAACTCACCAACGGGGAGATCATGACCTGAGCCGAGATCAAGAGTTGGCCACTTAACCGACTGAGCCACCCAGGTGCACCTCCCCACACTTTCTAAATTGAACTCAGATTCTCTTCATTACCAGGAAAATCATGGTAAACATCATTGTTATGATCCCAAAAGGAGGCAAACATCCTCCACTACTGGGAGCTGGGCCCCTCCCATCCAGTTGAAATGTTGAAAATGTGACAAAAGAGTTGACCAGCTAGGCCTTCCGGGAGCAGTGACACAGCGGGTCATCCCTGCTGCGGCCCCTCTGAACCTCTACTTCTTGCATGCAGGGGGGTAGTTAGGAGAGTGGCCACCAAAATCTTAACTAGCTGTCAGTCTGGCCAGGCCAAGGGATCCTAACTGGCTAATGGTTGGGTCCACTTAGGCCCAAGTTGGAGGAGATCAGAGATCTCTCCACTCCCAGGCCCTGGGCTGCAAGCCCAAATGCTTCCTGGAGCCACTGCCCGCCCCCAATCCCAGCTTCCTCCCTGAATGAAGAGCTGAACTGGCCAGCCACCTACCCAGCCCACACCCACTTGGGCATAGCCTATAGGTGACTACCTCCCAAGTGAGTCGCGCCCCCCAATCCCTCCCTGCTGTCCCTAGCAGGCCCTAAGGGGAGGTGGGGTTCCAGGCGTAGCCTTTTCTCCATGTACAGGAGGCAGGTCCCCTTACTCAACTTAGGGTATGGTGTTTGATGACTAGTTAAGGAAGTGAGGTCATTGGGACAAAGTGGGTTTGCTCCGTGGTTCACAGGATCACAGGACTGGGGCCATGCCCCCCCCCTAGTTATCTCCTACCTTCTTGGGTGTCCTCAGGCATGGCGGGCGGTGGGCAGTTGTGGGGCTGATAATAGCACCCAGTAGCAGGACAGGATGGAAGCAGCAGCGGCTCCTCAGAGCCTGGGGAAAACTGGCCACCTCCCAGCCTGGGCCTAAAATAGGCCTGAGCTCAGCCCACTGGGCTATATTTAGAGGGGGCAGCTCTCAGCCATGAGAAGGGGTGGAGTGACCCACATGGGCCAGCCTAGACTATCTGGCTGGTGATGCAGCCCAGACAAGAGCACACCTCCACTAATATGTGTGCCCAGGGCCTTTCCTGAGGAACCCTACCACCACCATACATGCAAAGGCCTTGGTGTCTTTATCCAGACAAGCTGCCTCAATGCTCACCTCCAGCAATGCCTGCCCCACATGGCAGCCAAGATATGTAAGGGAGCCCTGTGCCTCTACCCACAAAGACCCCAACCCGAAGTTGGGCCATCTCTTCTCCAAGCACATGGACAAGCACCTACCCGTGTGACCTGCTGGCACCAGGGATTGGGGTGATGGATAGCTGGAGCGCATTGCAATGAGGGCTCTGAGAGCCCCCAAAGGGGGCAGAGACACACCTGTAGGTAGGCACTCATTTTAGTCTGTAGGCAGACTCAGGTTGAAGATTGGTATTTCTGTTAATAAGTTTACAACCTTGGTTAACAGATTGCCTACTCTCTGACCTCCATTTTTTCATCTGTAAAACGGGAAGGACAATGGTTCCTCCCTGGCACAGGACCTGTGAGAATGGAATACAGCTACATGTCTGCAGTTTAGATCCTCCCTCCTCTCTCCACACACACCATGTTGTGTGAGGAGGCATGGTACCACTTACCCTTGAAGGGAGGAAGTAGCCAGGTTTAGGGCCCACCCTCTGCTGTTAGACCCCTGTGGCCCTTCTCCCCAACTGGGACGAAGCAAGACAATGAGGCCCCACCTCCTAAAACATCCCAAATCCATCCACTGTATCACATTGGCCTCCTTGATGTTTCTCACACACAGCAACCTTGTTTCCACCTCAGGACCCTTGCACTAGCTGTTGCCTCCTGGAACATTCCACCCCTAGACACTCCCATGACTGGCTCCTTGTTGTTTAGCTCAAATGTCACCTCCTCAGTGATGCTTTCTCACATTATTTACCATATCACCAAATTTGATTTTCTTCATACTACTCAGTCAAGAAATCATATTCAGAATACACTGTGCAGGTCAGTAGGGCCGCAAAGGCCCCACAGAATCCACTCAGTCACATGGAAACTGCCTTTAATCCTCACCACAGCATCCTTTTCAGAAACCGAGGTCCTAGGACTGCTAGGAAGTTGCCCAAGGCCACACAGCAAGACCTAGAACCAGCGGTTGTCAGCTGGGGCCATTCCAGCTTCGGCTCATAATGTGTTTATTGCATTAGTACAGTCGGCCTGTCCCACTCCCGCCCCCACCAGCTCACCCTGTTCACAGCTTTCTGCTCATTGCCCAGGGAGGAAGTCTTCATCCCGGGGTGGGCACTCTGGGCACCTCCTCCGACCAGGTCGTTGCTCTGGAGCCCTGCTTATCTGCCTCTTCCCGACCAGCCGGACCCTGCGCCCGGCCTGAGCCGTCCCTCCCAGAGCTACATTCAAGGGTTACCCTCTGTTAATAAATAAGCCGGCGAGGCTGCCCCTCAGCCAGGGCCTGTCGGTTGGTGTCTCCATCAACCAGGGACCAATGTGCCAGGCCCCCTAGCTGTGCGTCCTCCAGGGTCTGTCCTCCCGCTCTCCTGCCTGTAGCCTCCTTCCCTGTACCCGGCGCGGCCTGCCCAGTCACCAGTGCGCCGCGCTGCGTGGCCCCCGCTCGGCGCGCGGCTCTGGCGCGTGCCTTCGCCGGTTTCGGCCCTTCCTCCGTGACTCGGGAGGCGGTGGGCGCGACTCGGGCTGCAGACGACACATTCGCAGGGAACTCGCGCCGCCGCCGCCTGGCTCCACCAGCTGCAGGAAGTCCCGGTACCAGAGCTTGGGGCCTGGAGGGGGGACGGGCGCAGCCTCCTCGGTCCGGGCCAGCCTTTCAGCCTGCGCAGCACTCAGCACGTGTAGCACCAGGCGACGCAGCGGCTGCGAAAAGCCCTGTTCCACAGCTGCGCAAAGGTACACGCCAGAGTCCCCGCGCCGCAGCCCGCGCAGCAGCAGTCCCCGCGTCAGGCGCTCTGCGCGCTCCTCCACAGCTACCTGCAGGCGGGGCCAGTGGGAGGTGTGGGCTTCGGGGTCAGGAACGGGGAAACCCGGCTCCAGGTCGGTCCAGGAGAGGCAGAGGGTCAACGGTGGCCGAGCGGGAGCAGGTAAGGGGCTCCCGCAGGCGTACAGATGAAGGCTGGGTGCACTGGCATGGGTGGTGTAAAAGAGGAAACCCTCCCGGGACGGGGTTTACCTGGACATAGGGGCGGGGCAGGGGCCTCAATGGGCGGGGCGAGGGCGGGACTCCTCTCGGATGGGGGGGGGCCGGAGTCTAGTTAGATGGAATAGGGCCTCACCAGGATGTGGGGTTCAGGTAAGGGACCAAACTGGACATAAGGGGTCTAACTGGACGGAGTCTCACTGGGCGGGGTCGGACCTAGTCTAGAGGTGGGAGCAGGCCAAGGGCCTCATTGACAAGGGCGGGGCTCCCCTGGATGTCGGGGGCGGGACAAAGGCCTGTTTGGGAAGGGAGCCGGCATGAGGCTCACCTGGGTGTAGGTCGCCTCTCCTGCGCGCTGCAAGGTCCATTCGACGCGCGCCTGCAGCGAACGGGGCTCACACTCGAGGAAGGCGCTCCCGCCCTCCACACCGAACACCTTCCGCTCCAGCAGGGCGGGATGAGAGGAGTCTGGGGAGGGCAAAGGAATGTCAGATTCAGGCAGGGCAGGGTGGGACATCTTCAAAGGCGTGGGGGCAGCTGGGGCACTCACCCCCAGAGCACAGCGTGCTGGGGTCGCCGTTCCTCACGTCTTGCCGCCGGAACCGCCTGGGGGGTGCATTGATACATTAGAGCCTCCGTGAGCCCTTCTTCTTTTAGCCAGGTGCTGCAAATAACTCCAGGTGGCCCGCCCCCGACCCTGCCCACCTTTTAGAGCTGGGCTGGAAGCGCGTGCACGCGGCCCCGTCCCAGGCGCAGTAAGGGTCACGCGCGAGGCAGCATTCCGCACAGGCGCGGCCGTGGGCAGCACAGAGGTGCAACGGGATCTGGGCGACCGCGCTCCGGGAGGCTACGTACAGCTGGTGCTAGGGGGCACGAGGGGCTCCGGGCTGACCGAAGGCAGCCCTGTGCCCTCCTCCCATTGGTCAGGGATCCCTGACCCCACTTGACAGATAAGAACACTGAGGTCTCAGATCTAGCGAAGGCAGAACCTATACTCAAACCCAGTGCTTAGACCTACCAAGGGAGGCGTGGGGGTAAGGGCGCCAGGGGAACACACTGGGTCCCTTCTGCTCCCAAGCCTTCTGCAGAGTCACTTACCCTCTTGGAAGAGATTTGCATGCTGGTGATAGCAGATGAATCCTGAGAGGAGGAGGAGCGCTGGGATCAGAGATCAATGGGGTGGGTGGGGTTCCTCCAGGAGAAGGGGGCTAGGCCTCACCTCAAACACGTGCAGCTCCTCCAAGAGCAGCCCCTCCCCGTTAGGCTGGCTGCCCTTGGGGACTGAGATCACCTTCAGCACTGTGCCAGCGTCTGCAGGGATGAGGAATGAGTGATTCCTTGTGTTTCCTGTCGGCTAGGACTAGGGGTCTCCTCACTTCTGTGGCCTTTACCCTCAGCATGGTTGGGTAGGTGAAGAATGTGGGTTGGAACAACCAGAGCAACATCCAAAAGGAGATGAGGGCATAACCCAGGCAAAGATGTAGAGATGGGATTGGACAGGAGCAGCTTCTGCTAAGAGGCGGAACAGAGTCTGGACAGAGTTTTATGGGTGGTCATGGCAGGACACTGACCTGTGCCAATGAAGAGGACATCGTAGTGTCCATCAGCAGCTGCTACACGGTCTGCAGTGATCTGGGTAAAGGTGTACCCGGCATCCACTTGTATGAAGAGGGGGCGACCACCCATGGGCAGGACTGAATTGTACATGAGGGGGTGGTTCCGGGCAAATTGAATGACGTCATCAGGAAAGTCCTTGGTAGAACTGAAGGTGCCAAAGGTCTTGCTGGGGCACTGGGCCGGTGGGGAGGAGGCATGACAGGGATGTGGGTATGAGGGCCTGGTGGGCCCCCAAGAGACCTCCAGGAACCGGGAGTGTAGGGGAGTGCTAATGGACAGAGCCCTGCCCTGAGAATCTGAAGAGAGAAAACCCAGCCTTGCCCTTGGGAGTCTTAGGGGGAAATATGCACTTCCTCTGAGGAGCCCTGTCTGACGAGGGTAATACTTTCTCACCCGTAATGAAGGGAAAAAACTACATTCACCAAGAAGATCCCAGGCCAAGTTTTCCACCCCTGAGACTTTAAGTGGGTTGTGGTGGGAATCCTGGGGCTACGCACCATGCCTGGTCGGGGGTAGGGGACACGGCCCTGGTAAGACACCCACTGGTGCATGGGCCCTTCCTTGTGTGCAAAGGGCCCCAGGAAGGCCCGACGCACATCGTTCATGCTGTACACACACACTGCAGAGCCCTGGAAGACGGTGCTGCAAGCAAAGACATGAGCAGAGTGAGGGGTCCAGCAGAACCCAGTGGGCCCTGCCCACTACCTCCTGCCCCTCACCTCGATGTGGAGAAGACAGCGTAGAGCAGTGGGCTCCAGCGGTCCCTCAAGGACAGCAGGAACACATCCTCTGTGGGGAAGAAGCCTAGTTGGGGGAGGGCACACAGCCCTCTGGGCAGCCTGGCTCCTGAGTCTAGGCCCATTGCACTCCCTCTCTCCAACCCCATCTTGCACTCTTGGCACTCACGGAGGTGGTCAAAGTGTGTGTCACCCTCAACGCCTGGCACTGCACACACCAGGCGAGCCTTCAGGAATGTGGTCCACTTGTTGACCAGGCTTCGCTGGCCTCCCACGTCATTCTGTGGGGTCAATCAGTGGGGATGAGGGGAAGGTCCAGACAGGCAAAAGGGCAGGGACTTGGTCACCGGCTGTGGCTCAGGGACTCCTCACCCGACAGATCTGGCCAACCCGGGACACAGTCTGGCGTCCCATTGATGGTGAAGCCTCCACTGCCGACTCACGGAAGAAGAAGTAGATCTTGTCATCGTCAGGATTCTCACTCTCTGGGATCCAAAAGACCTTGACGAACTTGGGCTCTAGCAGCAGGAGGCATGGGGTTAGAAAGGTCCTGGCCCTGCCACTCATGGGTCCTGGTGCACGCACACTCCCTCCTTCCTCTAGTGCCCCCAGAAGCCCTCAGGGCAGCCTCTGACCACCCAGCCTCCAGATAGGATGGCAATCTAGGGGACAGCATCGAGGATCAGGGCCTGTGAGTCAAGAAGTAACCACCAGAGGGCAGCAGAGACCAAGACTCTCTAGACACACAGGCCTCTCCCGCATCCCTGACGCATCCCTGACCCATCCCTGACCGTTCCCCAGGCCACGGGCCACGGGCCAGAAAGGAGGGAGATGGGATACTGGGGTTTTACCTTCACTCAAGAATATTCCTCTTGATCAGGAAGCAGATGCCTCCTGTTACTGCTGTGAATACTCTGCTGGGTCCCCTCACTCTTAGAACAAATGACCCTGGCCTCTGACAATACAGACCCCTTATCCTTTTTCCTTTCATGGGTCTGTTCCTTGGCTTGTTCTTGCCCGGGAGCCTTTGTACTAGTTGTTCTCTTTGCCTGGAATGCTCTTCCCTCAATCCTCCTGTGTTTTGGGAATTAGCTCTCCCCTGTCCTCAGCAGAGTGGCTTCCTTTCTCCAGTTCTCTTACCACCTGGTCTCCTTTTCCCTTTCTGTCTGTTCACTCACTGGTCTAATTGCCATTGGAACCATCTTATTATGTATCTGTTCTGAGGTCTGTGAACTCAACGAGGGCATGGGCCATACAAGTCTTGTCTGCCCTGCAGCCCCAGTGCCTGGCACAGAGCTTGACACATGGTGGATACTTGGTGAGACCTGGCTGCACCCACTGTTCACTTCCTCTATGGGTCTTACTAGGCACCTACCCTGTTGGGGATGAGAGCCCCCTCCCGATAGCCCCACCAGCCTTTCACCATTGAGCCAGCGAGAGTCGTGTGGTTCTGTTCGGAGACTTGGACGTTGTCCCAGGCTACGGAAGATGGTGAAGTCCCGGCCCATGAGGTCTGCAGCCACCCCTGAGTACAGTTCTTTCCCTGGAGATAGAGTAAGGGCTGCTGAACCAATCTGAAGGCTCTCTGCGGGGAGTGCTTGTAGAGCTCCAGTAGCTCTTAAGGAGTCAGTGATGCCATAGAGGATCTCAGGGGCTATCAGGGGTTCTAGAGTCTCTGAGGGGCCCTAGTCGTTGGACTCACCCACCAGCACGGAGGCAGCCTGATGCCTGGGGTCATAAGGACTCTTGCCCTTGCCATCCTCCAGCCTTCGAAGGTCCAGCCGGAGCGTGGGCTCCTGGGAGGCAGGGGGCAGTTGGTACTTCCAGGCCCTACTTTACCTCCCAACCTCCCTCTCTGCCTAGATCTGGTCTTACCTCCAGCCGGTGGCCCACCTCCACAAATCCACAGGTGGGGTGGAAGGCCCCTGTGCCACAGGCCAGCAAGTGGGTGCTGTTGTAGGCATGCAGCAACTTCACGAAGTTCATGCACTCAGTCTAGTGGGCAGGCGGGGGCAGAGACGATGAGGCCTCCTCCAGGGAGGTGGCCTTAAGAGGTCCCAGCTTGCCAGTGGTACCTCACCCCATCCTCTCTTCTGCATCAGTCCAGGCAAGTACCAACATGGGCTGCAGGAACCTGTGTGCCCTCGGTGACCAGATCAGCCCACCTCTCACAGAAGGGGCACATGGAGAAACACAGGCCTGTGTGGCCCCCTGTGACTCAAAGGCCCCCAGGAAGAATCACATGAGCCTCCTCCCTGACTCACTACCTCCAAACTTGAGCCACCTCGACCCCCTGCCCCCATCCCAGCCAGAACAGGCAGGCCTCTGTCCTAGCACTGCTGTCTGTGCAGCAAGGGGCCAGGCCTCCACACTCCTGCCCCGGGCAACCAGCACTCACACCAATGTCCTTGCCCGCCCAGTTGCACTCCTCTCGCCATTCCACAGGGGCAGGCCAGGCCAGCTGCAAGGGGACCGGGGAAGGGGGACACAGGTCAAGGGCCTTTGCCTGATCTCTGTGAAGATGGTGTCTGCTCAGGGGACCCACCCCCCTGGGCAGCACAGAGGCTGGGGGTCCCTGGCACCTTCTTGGCCCGCTTGCTGATGTCGTCCAGGCTGAGGGAGGCCACGCGGTTCTCGGCGCCCACAAACAGGCGTCCTCTCTCTTCGTCCACCAGCAGAGCTTCATAGCAGCAGGTCCTCTCCAGCCTGAAGGTCCGGAGGCCGTGCCGAGCCTGGAGCTCTGCGGAGTAGGGACATCACCGAGGGTTTGCCAGCCATGCTGGAAGCTTCCCCCAGCCCCTGCCTGTAATCTCTCTCACAGGTCATGGTTGTACATGTGACCTGGCCCACACATGTGAGTTTACCCACATGTGAGTTTACATTCATGAAGACGGGCCCACCCATGTGAAAAGCTTCCAGGGTGGGCAATGCAGCACCCCCCCACCCCCCCAAGGAAAAGCAGGTTGAACTCCTTGGGCGTGCTTGGACAAGAAGTGTCTGCAGGCGGGCGCACTGGGAGGCCGGGGTGCTGGGGGAGCCTGGGTAGGTAGGGAAGGTCAGGACCCCAACCCCAAAGTCTGGCTGAGGATTCTCCGCCACGCTGCTACCAGCCTAAGCTTAGTGCGATGCCTAGTGACCACCCTCCTGTGTCAGGAGTATGGGGTGTGGATGGGACACAGGCAGGATCTGTTGCCATGGGAATGGAAGGGGTCTTCCTGGGAAAGCTAGAGGAGAATGAGTGCAGAAAGGTTGGGGGCTGAGGCCAGGACAGGGTTAATTAACTGGAGATGACCTGAGAGTGCCCCCAGTCAAACCTGGGCCAGGGGCACAGGGCAAGAGCAAACTTAGTGCCCCCTACCCACACTGGGTCTCTCTCCTGCCCACCCTGAGCCGAGCCCTCTTGCCTGCCAGGTGCACCTACCTTGGAAGGAGAGCCGAAGGCGGGGAGGGCTGGGGGCAGCACCCCCCAGCACTGCTGCCCAGAGCAGGGCCAGGCCCGGGATCATGGCGGCAGCCCTAGCCGGCCCCAGCCGGGCAGCTCAGGGTGCTCAGGGTTCAGCGGGTGTGTGTGGAGGAGCCTTGAGCCGCCCTGGACTCTGCCCCAGGATCTGGAAGAGAAGGAGCTGCAGCAAGGACGAGGGCGGGGCAGGAGGCTAGGGGGGAGTCCCCAGGGATCAGATTACAGCCCCTAGGGAAAAGAGGCTGGGGGGTCGCATTCCACTTCCGAGCTCTCCCCTCCCTCCAAGTGTGCCCTGCCTGGCCACAATCACAGACACACCCACATTGGGCACACCCTCGGGGTCACCCCCACGCGGGCAGGCGCCCGCCCCACCACGTCACCCTCCCTAGTAACCCCCCTCTCATAGACACACTCACAGGCATTAATTCACAAACTCTGTGTGCCTACTTCATGCCAGCCTGGGACATTGGGGGACACAGACAAAGTCCCCATGCAGGAGGGGGCAGAGTGCCAACAAAGACTCAGATCAGTGCAGTCATTTCAGAGGGCGCCAAGTGTAATGAGCAAAACAAACCAGTCATGGGAGTGAGAGCGACATGAGAGGAGGGGCGAGGCCTCTGGAGGTGGCTGTGCACCCACAGGCCTAGAGAGGAACTGAGGCACCCTTAGGGCTGGAGCCAATGGTGTGGGCGCCTGTGAGTGTGGCTGTTTCTGAGGGTCCCTTTGTGTTGTTATCTGTATTGTGTACGTGTGTTGTGTGTATGCAGGCAGATGTGCACGCCTGTGACAGCGTGTGGCATGAGAGTTGTATCACACATGTAGATATATGGCACACGTGTGCACTTTGCACACATGCGTGTCTCAGACGTGTGCGAACGTGTGTACACATACAAGTGTACGTGTGTTTCTCTGGGCATGCAGGTGAGCAAATACAACCGCAGAGAAAAGCACAGCCTTCAACTCTGAAACCTGCCTGAAACCCATGCCTCTGAGGAAGAAGTACTGCCCAGGAGCCCCAGCAGTGCAGGCTGCACAGAAGCCTCAGCTTCTGACTTAGAGGTGGCTGCCACTCGGATATAGCAGCCCAGCTTTGTGCTTGACCTCTCTCTCCCCACACGAGGGTGGAAGGAGCTAGTTACACAGAAATTCTGTGAGCTCAGACTTCAGACCCAAGAGGAATCAAGTCGGGGGAGAGCCAAGGGCCTCAGACAGCCTCTCACCCCTGCTTCGAGTGAGCTGTCCTTCCCTCTCTCAGCCCCCACTGCCTCCGTGCCTCTCCCTCCCCTGCATTAGCCCTCAAGTTTCACGTCTTTGAGCTCCTCCACCTCTGAGCCAGACCCCTTCCCTGGACCCCATACAAGGGGCCAGCCTCTAGCCACAATGCCCATCGTCTTCCCCAGAGCTGGCGGGGCAGGTGCTGGGCACAGGAGCCCTGGAGTGGGGCAGGGTCCTGGGGTGCACAACTGCCAAGGGCCATTCCGCATCGCTCCCCCCAAACTCCTGCCCGGTTCCACAGCCCCCGGACCCCTCCCGTGCCAGGACCCCCACCTCCCTCCTTCCCTCCACTGACACTTGCCACCGCCTCTTCTGAGCCCAAGCCCGTGAGGTCTGCGATGCCACGGAACACCAGGCAGCCCTCCCTGGAGAAGGGGAGAAGCCGCGAGGCCGCAAGGCACCCTCTGACGGCTCCTTTAAGGAGCAGCCCCCGCCTCCACCAAGCCAGCCGCCGCCCCACACGCGCCGCAGTCAAGTTTACGGGGCGGGCAGATCTGGTGACCAGGCAGGCAGTTGGGGCCAGCCAGAGTTGGTGGCCAGGCCAGAGTGGAGCGGGCACAAGGGAGGGGTGGGGAGGAGCGACCCCTCCCCTGTCGGGCCTCAGGGTAATAGCTGTGCCCAAGAGCCATCCGGAAGTGTGGCAGCCAGTCCAGGCAAAAGAGGAAGGGCCCCCTCCCTGGCCCCAAAAGGCTCTGTGAAGCAAGTGGAGGGAACAGCAAGTCCAGGGGACTCAAGTTCCTCACCTGTCCCTACACAGCTGGGGAGGTGGAGGTGTGTAATGAGGGGCTCACTGCCACCTCGGTTCCCAGGAGCCAGCTGGCATGGGAGGGTTGCATGTCCTGAGAAGGAGTTCTCAACTAGGGGTCTGATGCCGGGCCCCCAGCCCAGCCCCAGCCCTTCCTCACCACTGGGGCCACTTAGTGCTTCTGCCACCTGGCTGTCAGAGGCTGTGAGGACAGCAGTTGGGGCAGAAGAGGAGGGCCCGAGAGGGCCAGGCAAGGCAGTCAGAGGCCCTCAAGTTTCACTTCTGCACTGCGGTGGGGGTGGTGGGGGTGGTGTAGGCCCACCCAGAGACCCCTCCTGATGGGTGGTCCCACATCTCTGCAGGGGAGTGAGGGGGATTCTGTGTGACCTCTGTGATTCAGGACAGGGCTCTGAAACCTTGGTGGCTCAGCTTGGGAAGGGTCTGGGATCTCGGCCTGAACTTGAGCCCGGTGGATGACCCTGTTTGTGCTGCTGGGGGTCTGTCTCCTTTGGAAGGGCTGAATGTTGGCAATGGCTGAATGGGGCCTTCTGGTCCACCTGGGTGAACGCAACAGGGCTTGAGGATGGCCTTTTACCCCTCAATCCGCATAAAAGGCGTCTTCCTACAACCTCCCTGAGGCTGCTTAGCAGCTCCACAGTTAGTCAATGAGGGAAGCTGTGTGGGCTCCTGTGAGGGAACCTGTGAGGTTCTGTGACCCAGCTCCTGCCAGCTCTCCTGGAGTAGCGGTGTCTGTGCCCAGTCAGGGGGGAGCCATGCCCTTTACTGAGTGTCAGGACCTAGTGTTCCTGGCCTGGCCTGGCTGGCAGAGGAAGGGTGGGGGTCAGTGGGAGGCCAGGTGTCTTCAGGAGGGGGAATGGAGGGATGCACCCCAGCCTGAGCTCTTGGGCTTCCGGGAAGCAGGCTCTTCCTCCTCGCAGCTTCTGCCTTGGACCTGGGCAGCCTCCCCTGGCCCCATGCAAGCAAACAAAATTCTTTGGCTGTTTACAATTTTCCACCCTAGCAGCCAAGATCAGCAAGTGCCTCTGAGGTCCCCACCCATCCCTACTGTGCCCCCTACCTGCCCCCAGTGCATTTAGTTCCTCAGGCTCAGGGTCCCAGTCTCATTCCCTCCCAGCCCTGTTTCCATACTGAAAAGTAGAACCAGGACCCCCACCATCTTTCCAACATCTTGGGACTGTCCCTTGACCACCTGAGCCCTTTGCATTGTTTTACTCGCTCCCTGGAGCAGGAAGTGAGATCTGCAGGGGTGGGAGCTCAAGTTGTCCCTGTCCCCACAAGGTCTCCTTTCTGTTCTTCAGCCTCAGGTCCAAGTGTATGCCAGACCCTGGGCAGGGGCCTCATGGAGGCAGCACTCTAAGAGCAAGGTCATTGTCGGTGAGCTACTCTGGACTCTAGGAGTCTCTCTCTAAGGATTCTGGAATCAGGCAGCCTGATCCCAAGTCTTGACAGAATGGAACAAACTAGGAAAGTAGCTATATGGCCACCTGCACCACTGCCCAAGGGCCATCTCAGCCTCCTGAACTCTACCCTTTGCCAGGATACCCATGGGCAAAGGCCTGCCTGGATTCTTGCCCTGATGCTGCTTGCTGCCTGTTAGTGGAAATACCTGGATGGTGGTGCCAAGTCCTACCACCTGCCTCTTCACCCCCATCACCAGCTGGAACTGTCCCCTGCCTGGACTCTGGGTGCTACGGCTAGGGTAGGACATCCATCTGAGGAAGGCTAGAGCCAACCCTCCCAGTGCCCAGCCTGGGCCTAGTCAGGCCTTGGCTTCCCACTCACACCTGCTTTAGCCATCAAGGCTGGTGGCTCCAGCATCACAACCCTTCCCAGTTCTGGCCACGTGGGTACTAGGACATGCTACCCTGAGGAATTAGGCACTGGGTGGGGGTGAGATGGGGGATAGGAATGGACCCAGGGAAGCCTGGCTGAGGGGCCTGACTTCCCTGACAATCTACTACCCACCCAGGGAAGATCTCTTGGGAGAAGATGTTGGGGCCCTTCCCCAACCCGCCCCCAGCCTAGTAGCCATGCTCCCAGGTACCCTGGCCCACCTTTTTGGAAAGAGCAGCTCTTCCCCTCCTTGCCTGTTCCCCTTCCCTTCTGAGGGCCATGTCAGTGCTGAGGTGGAGGGGCCAAGGGAGGGGCCGCCAGGATCCCCGGGCCTCTGGCTATGGCCCTGCCCCCACCAGCTCCGCCCCTGCCCTCCGCCTCCTGCACATTCCTCCTGGACTGAGGTCAGCCCCTCAGGGATGGGGCAGCCCCCCCCATCAGCCACATCACAGCTCTCCTCTCCTGTTTTCTACATTGCCCAGCAGAAGGGGGGAGGGGCGAGGCAGGGGCGGGTGGAGCCTCCCTCACCCCTCCTCCAGAGTTTAGGGGAGTGTGGGATGGGGTGCCAGGAATGCAGCCAAAGTAGACTAGGGTGGCACTCCATGCTTATTAACATGTATTAACATAAACACTACCTTCCCTTAATTGGTTCGGGTATAGCTGCCCAGCAGTGCAGGCTGCGGAGCTCTGGATGCTGGGGTGGGGGTGAACCTGCCTCAGGGATCAACCCCCTTAAGTAGGCTGGAAGGGGCGGGGTTGAATCCTGACTGCCACTCGCCAGCTGTGTGTCCCTACGGAGACTGCGCCTCTGCTCACTTGCCCTGCGGTTGCAGCTGGCAGGCCAAGCAGGTCTGCCCTACGGTGGCAGAACGCAGGTGTGCGCTCCTGCTGCCACCTCAGCACTGGGGATCCTGGGCACCCAGGCCTCGAGGCAGACCCTTCACTGCTGCTTCTTTCAGCCCTCCTTCACTAGGGCCCCTTCTCGGTCTTGGCTCCTCTCCTGTCCCCACTCCCCCACCAACCCTCCTGCCACAGTCCCCAGCACAACGATGTCTCTGCCCTCCACCTGAACCTCCATCCCTCCCCACCCCTGAGGACTCCTCAGTCTTCTTCCTCCAAGTCTCCATCCCAGCCCACATCCCTTCTCCCGGAGCCCCTGTCTCAGGGAGATCTTTCTGCCTGGTTAACCTGAGAAGGTCCTGCCTCCTCCTCCAGCAGCATGCAGCCCAACCCCTTCACCCTACCCCCAGGCTGTGTCCCTGTGGTCTTCCTAACACTCCTCCTCCCCTCTATAGTACCCTGCTCCCCACCGCAGAGAGTTCCCTGGAGCTTAGGGGTTCCTGCCTGTGCTCTGGGAGGCAGCAGCACTTTCTGTGCCAGGACTTTGCTTGGCCTATGCCCTCCAGGCTTTTAGGCCATCCTCATTACCACCTGCTGGGCTCTCCTTCATCACTCAGTATCCAACTCTCTGGTGTCACAACTTCTCTTCACAACTTTCCTTTGTGAAGCCCCAGATGCCTGTAGCACCCAGGTTCAAGCCTCTCTGCAGGGCTCTGGGTTCCCCAGGGGCTGTATTACTGGGGGCACCAGGACCCAGCAGAGGACAGACCCAGGGAGGTAGGAGATAGAATGCCTGAAGAAAGCCCTTACACCTTCCTGGACCTGCTGAGCCTATGGGGGAGGAGAAGGGGAGACTGATGGACAAGGGACACCTCAGGTCCCTCCTTGACCCTCTGCCAGCTCCATCAAGAAGCCTTGACGCCCTCTACCCACAATGAAGTCGGAAAGTAGAATCAACAAGAAGGGATATCAAACTGATTTTTCTCCTAAGTAAGATCACCTGTGGGGCTTATCTCCTGCAAGGGGAAGACCAAGACAGGAAGGAGAGAGGGATCCATAGTGTTGAGCCCTGCCCGCTTGGACAGTGTTATTAACCAAGGAGCTGAGTGGCCTGGTGGGTATGAACATACTGTCACACACAGTTGCACATATAACCCAGCTAGCTCGACGCCCTCCTTGGATGTGTGATGGGGGCTGGCTGACCCTCTGGGTGTCCAGGAGAGGTAAGGGGAATGCATAGCCCCATGGCAGAGATGCGAGTCTCCAGGACCTCTTATAGGGCAATAGACACAAAGATTGGGTTCAGTTGTTTGGGAGTGAGCCTGAAGCCAGAACTCAGTCAAGAGAACCTACAGTGCCATCCCTGCCCTCTCCCTGACTCTTAGGGCAGCTAAGATCTGGCTGGCTAGGCCACAGGCCAGGTGGCTGGAGTCAGGGCTTGTGTTCTCTAGCATGGTGGCTGGCTTGGCACTCTGGGTCTGGGATGGGGACTGTGGACGGATGATTTGAGGGGCTCTGGGTGGGTAGGGAGTAGGAAGTTTTCCTGACATCAGGAGCTGTGGGGCTGCACAGGAACGTGGTGAGGTGTTCTTCCAGGCCTTGACAGACCCTGCAGCCTCAGAGGTCCCAGATCTAATGCAGCCCCCTCCCCATTCTGCACCTGGCATCTTGGCCTCCACCCACCTGTTGTGGGGGGCCTGGGCTTGAGCTGGGGAGTGGCTGCCGGCCTGGCTCTTCTCCACAGAGTCCCCTCAATCCTCCCTTCTAAGTGCTCTGGCTTTCAGAGCTTGTCTCTTTCTCTCTTCCCCAGCTGTTTCCCGACCCCGCAAATGGGTTAAAAATACCAAGGCTGCCACCACATCAGTAGCCTGAGCAACTATTTGGAGTGGGGTGGGCCCTCTGGAAGATGCATCAGCTTCATAGATGTCTCCACCGGCTGGAGACAGCCCACTTCATACTGGGACCCATGTCTGGAAGCAGGAGCCTGGGTCTCTTCCCTAGATCTGCCTGTCTAAAGGTCCCAGGCCTCTTAGCTGCAGCTGCCCATGGGAGGAGCCAGAAAGATACCTCTTCTTAAGCTGCGTGTGCTCTGGGGTATACAGGGCCAGGGAGCAATGAATCTCCAGCTGCCCTGACCCAGTTGCTCCCAGGCATGAGGGAGCCTAAGGTTCAGCCCTGGAAACCTCCAGGCAGTAGGGGATCCCCAGGAGTCAATCTCAGGGAGTCCTTCCCGTTAGGGTGCAAGACACCTGGGATGCGCCATCCCCCTTCCCCGGCCTCCCCCAGCTGCCCCCCATGGCTGGGAATTTCCCAACTGTCAAAGACAAGGAAGAATTGAAAGGCCGCCCCCGCCAATGCTGGGACAATGGAGCCTTATGCCCTCCAAATCAGAGCAGGGGTAGGAAGGCCAACGGCAGGTGGGGGCCTAGCTGTCTGCACCCAGAGAAACTTCGCTTGCCAGGACCCCACCCAGACCCACGGCAAGCTGGGTACAAGGGGATCCTGGCCAGAATCCTACAGGGCCCACCCAGGGAGAGAGGCACTGGGTGCATCTGGCAGACAATGCCGGCCCCTCAATGGTTCCTCTGTTCAGGGTTCCCCTCAGGAGGGAAGGAAGGAACCGTCTCCGGCGCGGCTTCCTGCTGGGCAGGCATCGCCGCACCGGAGCTCCCGCCCCGCCCGCATATCTGGGGCTCAGCGGGGTCCAGGCCTGGAAGGAAGGCAGGGATCCTGGGTTGGGCGCAGGATCCTGTTATCAGCCGGCCCTCAGCCCTCAGCCTCGGAGGCAGCGGTCGCAGGAAAAGGCCGGAGGAACTGGGGCAGGAACTGAGGCTGGGGGGCGTTGATCTTCCGATCCGGCGGCCGCAGCCTCTCATCTCTTGCCAGCACTCAGGGCCTTGAGGCAGTGCGGGGACTGGCAGGTGTGCGGAGGCGGGGTCCTGGGTCCCCGGCCCCACCCTCCCACCCCTCGCCTTTCCCGCCTTCGCGGCGCCGACCCCGGCCCAGGCCGCTTTGTCCTGCGGCAGGCGCGGAGCCGCCGCAGCCCGACAAAGCTGCCTTTGTGCCCCGCGGCCTCCGCAGGACCCGCTGACGTCAGCCTCCGTGACGAGCCTGGCGGGCCCGGGCATGGACTACGGCGCCCCCTGGCGGCTGCGGAGAAGCCCGCCGCGGAGCCCCGCCCCGTCCTTAGACTCCGCCGCCTGCTGCCCAGCGCCCCCGCGCGCGGAACAAAGTCCAGGCGCCTTACCTGGCGCTCAGAGCTCACACAACGGTCACCCCTCCCTCCGCCCGCGCCGCCTTATCACCTGCCCTTGTCTTCTCCAGCGACGTGCGTGCACTTCCCATGCCTCATAGAAGCCTCCGTATTTTTAGGGCCCTAGCCCACCGCTACCGACACACGGACACATGGAGTGTAGTCACCTGCCTGTCCCTCTCCCCCTAGGTTTGGAGTGGGACCAACGGAGCAGAGACCTTTCTGAACATGTATCAGGCAGCCTACTGTCCCCGACTTTCTGTTTAGTCAACCCTGGGAAGCCCAACCCTGAGCAGGGATCCCGGCAAACACCTCAGGCTGGGAGAAGGAAGGGGCTGCTCCGCAACTCATGGTCTCCGAGCCTTGGGCCTGGGAGGTCAGAAGTCACATTTTCCTTCTGCACCACTCACTGGACACCTCTCTTGCTCCCAATATAGAAGAATTCCTTAGCAGCTCCTGAAGAAATCCACTCTGCTGCCCAAGGAAGGCTTGAAGACTGCTGCAAACCCAAGGCGTGCAGGGGTTGGGAGGAGAGGAGGGTGAGTTACAGGCCCCAGTAGGTGAAATGACTACAGAGTGGGAACACTGAGGTGCTGAGTACTGGGCCTGAGGATGACGTGGAGGGCAGAGCACCTGGGGCCCTGCCACAAATGAGGATTCAGGTTCAGGTCACTAACACCTTGGCACAGCTTAGTCTGGGTCTCTGGCCCTGGGACAGAAGAGTACTGAGCAGTACTTGGTATTTTTTCTTTCTACATTTTATTATTTCAAACCAGGTGAACAATTCCATAAAACATGTGAAAAAAGCAAGGAAGTGTTCAACGCTGAAGGACCCGGGCCTGGGGCAAGGGCACGAGGGGCATGGCCCTCAGCAGGCAGCGGCGGTTCCTAGGTTAGCGCTAAGGAGCTACATTTAGGTTAATGGAGCCAGGGCCCAGGGCCACTGGGACGGGGCCCTCAGTGATGTTGGCAGTTGTCTGGAACAGCCCTTGGAACCCAGTTCTGTGGAGGGCAGGGCAGGGCAGGTGTGCCGCCCGCATGGGGTGGGGGAGGGGCAGCCAGCAGAGGGATGGGTGTAAACACGCAGACACACTCAAGGCACAGAATCACTGGAAGGGGGCTGGGTGGGCGCTGGTCAGAATTTGACAGTTTTAAATAGTTTTCTCTAAAAAGTTTTCTAGGTTTGCAGTTTTATCTTTTTTTTTTCCTTTACTTTCATTTTTTTTAAAAAGCTACGAGAATGAGCAGGTGGACTATAGTCTCCAGGAATGGTGGTGTCTCACGCTTCTTGTGCTTTTTCCTTTGGGGCCTCCAAGCGGCTGGAGGGGTGGGATGGGCAGGAGGCTCCCTGTAAACATTTGGACTTGGGCTGGGTCAGGGGCTGGTGTTGAGCGAAGCCAGGGGTCTCAGGCTGGAGAAGTGAGTGCCCCTCCAGACACAGGCCTTGGGAGACTCAGCATTGTGCTCCCCTGCCCCATCACAGAACAAGACAATGGTTAACACCAGAAAAGATGCCCAGGAAAGTGGTACCGCGGCCATTCCCGGCACCTAGGACAAGGGCCGGCTTCAAATAGGGGGGCCTGTGGCGGTTCCTCCCCCCCCCCCACCCCCTGAGTCTCCAGAACTGAGGGAGGGAATAGGAGAGCCAAGAATAGAGACAGGAAAGGGGGGGGAAAGCAGCCGGGGAGAGGAGGGGAGCGGGCAGGCAGGGAGCGTGGTCCTCTTGCCCCCATCTTCCTCAGGAGCTGGGGGGAGCAGAGTCGGCGGTGGCCCTGGAGGTGGGGGACAGTCAGGGCATGGGTCGGGAGGTAGCCAGGGTGTGCCTCTCCTCCCACTTCCCTAGACAATGACCCTCTCTTTTTTCTCATCCACCTGTTACCAGGGACACAGTAGCTGCCCAGGAGCCAGTGTCTGTTGCTGGGTTATGTGAGGGAGGGGAGTCTGTAGCACTGGCAGAGTCCTCCCCATCTGCCCCAGGGCCAGTGGGGTCAGTGTCAGCCCAGGACCCTCAGATAGGTCTGAAGGAAAGACTACAGAGCTGAGTGAAGAGCTGGTCACACCGAGTGGCAGGTGGCTGGGGCCTCTGTCATTCATCTAGCCTCCTTCAGGTCAGGCCAGTGGCTTGGTAGGTGACTAAGTTTTCTCAAGGGAGGTCAAGACAGCCCTCTAGTTCTCTCCTGGCACATGGCCAGGTGTTTCTGCTGTCTGGACCACTGGCCAGCCTACCTGTGTGCCCTGAACTCAGTAGACCACCTGACCTGCCAACCTGTGCTCCCAGACAACCCCTCCCCACCTGGACCCAGGCCCTCCCCAGCCCCAACCCTGTCCCTTCTCTGGGCTCAGTGGCTCCACTTTGTTCCACCCCAGCTCCCTGCCAGCCTACCCACGCCGCCACCACCCCCGCTCACCATCCTGCCAGGCCCCGCCCCCTCAGAAGAGGCCGCAGTCCTTCAGGTTGTTCTTGATGATGACGTCGGTGACGGCATCAAACACAAACTGCACGTTCTTGGTGTCGGTGGCGCACGTGAAGTGCGTGTAGATCTCCTTGGTGTCCTTGCGCTTGTTCAGGTCCTCAAACTTACTCTGAATGTAGCTGGCTGCCTCGTCGTACTTGTTGGCCCCTGTGGGAGACAAAACGGTGAGGACTTGTGTCACCTGTCCAGCAGGCAGGCCTGTCCCATGTGAACGACAAGGTCCTATGCATGTGAATAGACAAGCATATACCATATGCACACATGTGCAAAGGGTGACGGTGTGTGTGAGTGTACATGCACATCTGAGTGTGTAAAGAGCGGCTCCTGATTGTGCACATGTAAGGGTTACATGCCCTGTGTGCAGATATAAGTATGTAGGCCTAAGTGAGGCACCAGCTCCTGCATGAGTGTCCCACAGTTACCCTTCTGTCCAGCGGGGGGCGCCTGTGCACCACCTGGTCACCACCAGCTCCTCCCCAGAGGCCCAGTCCCCACACCTGTGTACTCAGGGAAGCAGATGGTCAGGGGGCTGTGTGTGATCTTCTCCTCAAACAGGTCCTTCTTGTTGAGGAAGAGGATGATGGACGTGTCTGTGAACCACTTGTTGTTGCAGATACTGTCAAACAGCTTCATGCTCTCGTGCATGCGGTTCTGGGGGCAGGACAGCGCGGTCAGCACCCGCCACTGCTCCCCAACCCCGTGCCCCCCTCAGCGGCCTCTTGGCCTCTCACCATCTCCTCGTCCTCAGCTAGCACCAGGTCATAGGCGCTCAAGGCTACGCAGAAGATGATGGCTGTGACACCCTCAAAGCAGTGGATCCACTTCTTCCGCTCAGACCGCTGACCGCCCACATCAAACATCCTGCAGACATAGGGTCGCCTTAGCTCCAGAAAAGACAGTTCCGAGAGAGGGTCCCCATTTCACAAGTCGGCTGAGGACAGAGGCCTGCTTAGAGCAGGGCAGCTGTCTTCACGGAATCATCCACACTCGTCCACCTTACTTGAGGTTCTGGGTCAGAGCGTGTCTGCACAGGTGGGGTGAGGGCCGGTGAGCAGGGCAGGCTATAGCCACATGGGGCAAGGGCAGCAGAAGATGTGAGCCGCTGGCAACCGTACAGCCATGAGAAACCTCAGAGCGGGGCTGGGAAGTCCTGGACCAGCCCCTCCCTCCCAACACAACCATCAGCAGGCCTTAGAGTGGGGGTCCCTTCGTCTGTTGCCCCAAACGCTAGCAAGTCCTGCTCTTCCACCCTGCCCACATGCTGGCTCACTTGAAATGAAGGTCCTTGAAAGTGAAGTGCGTCTCCACAATGCCCGTGGTCTTCACACGGGTCCGCAGCACATCCTGCTGTGTGGGGATGTAGTCACTCTGTGCAATGCGCTCCAGGTCATTCAGGTAGCTGGACGTGGGGGCAAGCAGGTCAGTGGGGGCCAGCATGAGACCTCCTTAACTGGACCCTGGGCCAGCTGACCCAGGCCCCTATTCCCCCCATCCCCTCATTTCTCAAAGCGCTTGCCTCTTCAGCCCTTGCCTTCATGACATTCACTGCTCAAATGAGAAAACCTGGACCAGAAGCCCTTGGCTCCGGCCTGTGTAATGGGCCCAGAGAAGTGTGGCTCTGTGACTGGCCAGCCAAGCCCCAGCACCCAGATCTGAGCTAGGCCTGCCTCAGACAGGATCCAGGCTGGTGGAGCTGCAAACTAAAAAGGGGTGTGTGTGCAAACTAGTCCTCCAGTGAGGGGTTCAGTATGCTAAGCGGCACAATGATGGCACCCACTACAGAGCAGCATGGCATGTCCCTCAATGCAGGGTTGGACACGTTGGGGCCTGTCAGGCGCAATAGGCTCTTTGCCCATCGTCCAAAAAAATTTGGACTCTTCAGGGGAGAGCATGGACACCTGTTTGGCAGGGGTCCCAGGAGCTCCTCATTACCAGCTCCCTTGATTAGTATCAACACTGGTCCTGCCAGGCCCTGGGACCAGCTCTGTCTGCCTCAATATCCTTGCTGTGCCCTGGGGACTGGGTCCAGGCCTCTGAGCCGCTGCCCAGTGCCAATGCCTCACTTCAGTCATGGCGCAGGGCTGCTGGGGCCAGCGGGAAATGACCTCAGAGATGCAGGGACAGAACACAAAAAAACAGGAAGGACCGCGAGGGCCCATGACGCATGTGCTGTGACCTGCTTACGGCACCCCGCCACCTACTGAGAACCTCCTGCCCAGAAGCCTCCTGGTGGCTTCCACGCCAGCCTCTCCCTTCTCCCCAACAGAGTTCACCCCAGGGACCCGCTGCCCCACGGCAGCCTTGAAAGATTGCTGTGAAGAGGGGTGGGGGTACTCCTATTCCCTGTAGTGTTCTAACCTACTCCCCACCCCTAGGTGATCTGGTCAGGCATAAACCCTGCCTGGGGAGAATGGCATCTGTATCACTGCTGGATCCCCACGCCCAGAACAGTGCTGGGCACACAGTGGGTGCTTAACGTCCAGGGAATGAAGAACAGCATGATGAAGGAATGGGGAGTAGCCTGGAAGGTGACTCCATACCTATCCTCCTTGAATATCCTGGACACTGATGTGGTAACGGTTGATAGGACCCATCCCTGCCTGCCTCTAGGATCCATAAGATCGGCTGGTGCTGAGCCTCTGTGGCCTCTGAGAGAGGCATCGCTGAGGTCTGGAGGCCCCCACTATGTTTGGCTGTGATTCTGCCACTCCTCTGGGGGGCACCCACAAGGGCATTCAGGCCACTGCAAGGAGAGGGAAGTGCTCCATTTGACTGGAGCAGTGCTCAGGGCTCAGGGCCAGGCAGAGCCCGCCTATCCACCCTCGCCCTGGTCCAGACCCTCTCTGAGCGGGCTCAGGACTAGAAGGGCAGCGCAGTGGGAGAGAAAGGTGTGGCAAACGGGCTAGCTGCCGCAGAGGTGGGAGAGGTGAGGTAGGAGCACAGGGGTGGCTGCCTACTTGGCACAGTCTGAAATGCCTGGGAACGTCTCCCACAGCCATCAGCACTAGCCACCAACCTGTCCTGTTCTCCATGGGTGCTCAGGGCCCTGCACCAGGCATATGGTATGTAGTTCAGGGAACCACGAGTTCAGAGAATGACCCTGTAGGCTGCACCTCTGGAGCTCCCAGAAACCCCTGTGATTCCCCAGCAGAGTCTTGGGCTCTAACATACATACATATCTCTCACCTCATCTCTTCCCCTTGTGTCTTCTCTCCAGCCAGTCTGAACATTTTCTGTGAGCTCGGGCACAGCCAGCACTACTCCTTTCCAGGCCTGTGCACACGTGCCCCTGCCTAGCAGCTTTTCCTGTCCCTCTTCTGCCTATCTCTTATTCAGAACTCAGCTGAGGCAGTCCCTCCTCTGGACCTGCCCCCACTGCCACCACAGCACTGACACTGTAGGTGGTCACTGCTTGGGGATGTGTCTACTCCATCATTGCTGGGTCCCTCAAGCTTTGCACAGGGCCTGGCACAGGAGGCAGCAAATGTTCTTTAGAATGACTGCGTACAGGGGTGCCTGGGTGGCTCAGTCAGTTAAGCGTCTGACTCTCGATTTCGGCTCAGGTCATGACCTCATGATTCATGAGTTCAGGTCCTGCATTGGGCTCCACACTGACAGTAGGGAAGCTTGCTTGGGATTCTCTCTCTCCCTCTCCCTCTGCCCCTCCCCTGCTCGTGCTTGTTCCCTCTAAACAAACAAACAAACAAACTTAAATTTTCTTTTTAAATAGAATGATTGTGTCTAAGGACAGATTAGACTCAATTGGCCTGGAGGGACAGCAGCCCCACCGGTCCTTCCTCCTGGCTTTCAATACCACGCCCGTCGCCTCAAAGCAAAAATCACCAAGGCCTTGGTTGACAGTCATCAGCTTCATAAGTAGAGACAGGCAGTGTCTTTCAGAAAGTGCTCAGGCCCTCTGCTCCAGCCTGTGGTCCAGAGCCCCCCGCACCCCACCCAGCCCCATGGAGTACTCACTAGGCAGCAGAGTCATTGAGCTGGTACTCCCGAGAGCGGCCAAAGCAAGCCTGCACTCCGTGGTCAGCCCAGAGCCTCCGGATGACACCGGACAGATCCTCAGGAAGCACGCCTTGCTCCTCAGCAGTGCAGGACAGTGCAAACAGCTGCCTGGCATCATCCTGGGCACGGTGGTGAGGCGTCAGCCAGTCACAGGAGTTCCCCCCCACCCCACCTGTCAGGGGTCTCCAGAATGGGGGCCCAGGCTGGGGTATTTCTAGGTTCCCCAGGACAAGGCTGGCCCTGAAGCCTTTAGGGAAGCAGTCAGGGTTTGAGGGGAGGACATACCGCTCGGGAGGGGTCGGCAAAGTCAATCTGCAGATTGCCCATGGCTTTGACAATGGCCATGATGGACTGGATGGTGTTGCTGTAGACAACTGCCCGGTACTGCCGGCACTCCTCCTCGGAATAGCCATCCTCGTGGATGATCCTGGCAGCCAGGGATCAGGAGTTAGGGCCCGTAGGGCACGAGGACCACACATGGCCCCCTGGCGCTGCTGGGGCCTGCAGGGCCCTATTACAGAGAGAAGGAAACTTCCCCCGACTCCCTGGGACCTGAGGATGGGTGACTGCCTCTGACAAGGTCCTGGGCTTGGCTAAGACTGGCTGGGCCATTACTTGGGTTGGGGGCGGGTGGTGGTGGGGGAGACAGACCCAGAGAAAGAGGAGGGGAAATCAGGGTTTGGTGGCTGTCTCCTGCACACAGCACTTACTTCATCTGCTTGACAATGGTGCTCTTCCCTGACTCTCCAGCACCTGGAACAGAGGGCACAGGCTGTCAGGGAGCAGCCCCAGTGGGGCTACGTGGACAAGGGACTAGTGGCCTAGCCACTGGCAGTCCCAGAGTCAGAACCCACCCTCCCCCATCAACCACACAGGGAGATGGAAGCAGGTGGCCCTGGTGGGCAGCCAAGCAACCAAGGGTGCAGCTGGCAGGGCCACAGTGGTCAAGACCCCGGGCCTTTGTTTCCCCCAAGCTTCACTGCCCACCATGTCACCCCCACCACAGCAGAATGAGCTCAGGGGCTTTGGTCGGAGGCAAGCCCTCAGGAGTCCCCGTCATTCTCCCGTGTTCAGGCTTGCCAACGTGGCACCCGGTACAGGGGGCAGGAAGGAGGGGAGCGGTCCCTCTTCTCCCCACACTCAGAGCCACCAAGGGGCCTGGGCTAGGGCAGGCCTACCTGCCTACCTACCTACTAGGCACGGCCCAAGTCTACCCCGAGCAGACGGAGACCAGGACTTGGGAGATGCACAGCACGACTGACAGACAAACACACACACACACACACACACACACACACACACACACACACCTTTGGACTGACTCAAGATGCTTCCAAGCCTGGCAGAGGCCCATTCTGTATTCTCCTTGGCCAATACTGAGGGATTTGCTGGGACTCTCTCCCACGTCTGTCACAGCAGCCCCACAAACATACTACTTCTGCTCCCATTTTACAGACAAGGACACTGAGGCTCACAAAGGTAGTCTTGGCCCCAGATTGTGCAGCCAGGGGGCGGCCTGGGTGGCTCAGTCAGTTAAGCATCTGACTTCGGCTTAGGTCATGATCTCACGGTTTGTAGGTTTGAGCCCCACATCGGGCTCTCTGCTGTCAGCGCACAGCCCACTTTAGATCCTCTGTCTCCCTCTCTTTCTGCCCCTCCCTTGCTTGTATTCTCTCTCAAAAATAAACAAACATTAAACAAAACAAAACGAAAAAAGATTGTGCAGCCAGGATTCAGATGGGCAAGGAGACACACAGGACCAAGATTACCCGGCCTGCCCAGCTTTTCTCAAATGTGGCTCAGACGCTGCAAGAGGCCCTGGAGGGGTGTTTTTGAAAAGGAAAAAAAAAAAAAAGCAGATTTCCAGGTCCCATCCTAGATGCACAAACCCAGAGCCAGATCTAGAGGGGTGCAGTCCAGAAACCTGCATTCCCCAGGGAGTCTGCGGGAAGTGTGAAGACCAGGAGGGCTACCCTACCTCCCTGGCCAGGGGGTGGTGGGAGTGGGAGCAGGACCTCAGTCCTCCTTTCACCCTCCTTTTTTTTTTTTAATAAAGGGTTTTTTTTTTTAATGCTTATTTATTTATTTTGAGAGAGAGAGAGAGCGCATGTGGGAGGGGCAGAGAGAGAGGGAGAGAGAGAATCCCAAGCAGGCTCCAAACTGTCAGTGCAGAGCCCCACAAGAGGCTCAATCTCAGGAACGCTAAGATCATGACCTGAACCAAATTAAGAGTCAGACACTTAACCGACTGAGCCACCCAGGTGCCCCTCCTTTCACTGCCCTAAACTGCAAGCAGAACACACCTCAGTTGGACCCACTTTTCCTCCCAGCTCTTAAACAGACTGTTCCCTCTGCTCCTTCACTCCCATCACTGGCAGCCACGCCTGCACCTGCCAGGCCCTGCCTCTTGCCAAAGCCAGGCATTTTCTCATGCGGTTTTCTTTGCTGGGCATACATGTGCCATGCCCTATTGACATGTGTCCCAACCCTCTTGATCAATGTGGCAGGTCTGTCCCTCTGAGCAGCTCAGGAGAGTGGATGGCGGGGTCTGTGGGGAGGTCACACTTGGGGACTCTGGCTCCCATATCCTTCAGGGTAGGTCAAGACAACCTCAGAGGAGGGGTGCCTGGGTGGCTCAGTCAGGTGAACATCTGACTTCAACTCAGGTCATGATCTCATAGTCCATGGGTTCGAGCCCCGTGTTGGGCTTTGTGCTGACAGCTCAGAGCCTAGAGCCTGCTTCGGATTCTGTGTCTTCCTCTCTCTCTGCCCCTCCCCCACTCGTGCTCTATCAAAAATAAAAAACAAACATTAAAAAAAGGGGGGAGTGCCTGGGTGGCTCAGTCGGTTAAGCAACCGACTTCAGTTCATGTCATGATCTCACAGTTCATGGGTTCAAGTCCTGCATCGGGTTCTGTGCTGACAGCTCAGAGCCTGGAGCCTATTTCAGATTCTGTGTCTCCCTATCTCTCTGCCCCTCCCCCACTTGTGCTCTGTGGTCTCAAAATTAAATAAAACCAAAAAAAAAAAAAAAAAAGAGGGGCGCCTGGGTGGCTCAGTTGGTTAAGCGACCAACTTCAGCTCAGGTCATGATCTCATGGTTCATGGGTTTGGGCCCTGCACTGGGCTCTGTGCTGTCAGCTAGCTCAAAGTCTGGAGTCTGTCTTAGGATTCTGTGTCTCCCTCTCTCTCTGACCCTCCCCTGCTCATGCTGTCTCGGTCTCTCTCTCAAAAACAAATTTAAAAAAACATTTAAAAAAAATTTTTTTAAAAGACAACCTCAGAGGATAAAGGGGCAAACATACAAACTCACAAGAGCAGTAATAATGTCAGCAATAATGATCATGGCAAAGCCATGAAGAGTACTCTCTATGCATCAGATGCTATTCTATGCCTACCATGGCAAGTAAGGAATTTAATCTCACAGCAATCCCACCTGACAAACCGGGAAACCTGAGAGTGAGGTCTCAATCCCCTCTATGGGTGGCCCACCTTGCCAGCCACGTGGTGCCTCCTAGAGCTGCCCTAAAAGCCCTGTACTGCAGCTGGGCCACACTGTCCTCAGGTCGCAGCTGCAGCCATCAATGGGTTCATTCCCTGCCTTCCTAGGCGGACACTGGTCTGAGTCTCTACGGTGCCCTCCCCTGTCCCTGCCAAGGTCCCTGCCCACCTCCATCTACTCTACCTCTCACCCTAGATCCACATTTTACCAGGAGAAATTGAGGCACCACTGTGACCCTCACAGAGGCAGGCCTGGTATGTGCACAACGCAGTGGCCTGAGAAGAAGGGTCTGGGCTCTGCTCACAAATGCTTCAGCTGCCAGGTATCACTGGGCTTCTGACTGTCCCAGGGCTCCTTCCCAGGACAGGTGAGTGAGTAATGGGCAGGAGGGCACAACTGTGCACGCCCTGGGCAGGCTCGGGGGTGGCTCTGAAGCAGGAGCCCCTCTATCAGTTCAGCGCCTGGGCAGTAGAAGCACCAGTTCCAGCGCATTCCCCTGGACGTGGGCTTGGTCACATGGCAGTAGCCCTGCTTCGTTGGGCTGTGCATGGCAGAGGAGCAGCCAGGGACCCCCCACACTGACACTCCACACCTGCTGGTGGAAGGACAGGGAGAGGGCCTAGGGAGGCCCAAGAGAGCCCGGTCACGGAGGCCGATCCTCCAGGACCCAAGCATCTAAGAGCAGGCAGGGTAGCACGGGACTGGATGACCACAGGGGTCAGGTGACCTCCTGGCCATCCTGCCCACCCAGGCACTTGCTCCCACATCCTGGGGCAGAGGGAGGCTCAGGAACCAGGGGTCTCAGCCAGGATTGGGGGTGCAGAAGCCAAGGATGTGAAGTGATGGGTCAAATCAATCATGCCAGCCCCAGCCAGGCAAACTGAGACTCAGAGTGGGCAACTGTCCAGGGCACATGCGACCTGAGGCATTGGTGAGGGTTTTGTCTCTTATGTGACTTTGGGAGCATGTCTACTTGAGGTACCCATTTCCCTGTCTGGCCTTTTGACCTCTCCGAGTAAAGTGGTATGGCACCCTGTGACCCTGCCCAGGAACAGGGATGACAGCACAAACTGGCTTTGCATCTGATTTTCCTAGCAGCAGTAGACCTGGCAGACACAGCGATGGGCAGTACCTGGGTGACCAGGCTAGAGCCAGGACACTTGCTTCCTGCCCCAGCCAACTGAGGGTCCATTTCCCTGTCCCCTGTGAGGTTCAGCCTCCCTTCCTGTCACGTTCTGAGGGTGCCCCCATTTGACAGGTGGATAAACCAGAATCATGGAGCCCCCAACCCTGGACTCAGGGCAGTCCCTTTGTTCTCCCAGCAGCTGTGACTCAAGCAGGAAGGAGTGAGTGGCAGGACAAGGGTGTGGCGCTGGTGGCTGGGCAGGAAGCAGGGGGAAACACAGGGACAGAAGGAGAGGCATGGCCCAGGCGCAGCGACAACAAGCAAACCAGGAGGCAGGGGCAGAGGCGGGTGGGATGGAGGAACAGGTGGGGCCAGGTGCCCCGGGAGCTGTGGGGCCCCACCCTACTCTTTACCCCCTCGCTCAGGGCCCTTTTCCATCAGGGCTTGACAGTGCTCCCCTGTCAGAGAAGCTAGTACTGGGCTTGGAGTTTGCTTGTACTCTGCTGGTCCACAGTGCCCAGTTCCTCCCACCCAGCCCTGCACCCTCCCTTCAGAGAAGGAGGCTTCACTAGCTGGTTCCGGACTGAAGGTGGCAGGAGTCTCCTGCCCACAGAGGACCCCGCTAGGCACTACTTCTCCAGCTGGGTGACATCAGAGGGACCCACGGAGGCTCTCTAGGATGGCTTCAGTGTTCCCATTGGGCCACACCTCTTCCCACCAAGAAGAAACTTCTGCAGCCTTTGTCCCAGGGCGCATCTGCTGGGCCCCCAGCAGGCAGGCAGTAATTGCCATGATGTGCTGGCGACAGCAGCTGCTCTGCGTTAGAACATCTGCTTCCACTCTGGGAGCGCTGGGCCCCAACAGAGGAGGGAACAGATGGGGGAAGGGAGACAGCACAGCTCCACCTGCCGAACAAGGCCAGCAGGGCCACTGCAGCAGCAGAGATGGGGCCACTCGTCCTGCCGCCTGCTGACTTCCAGCCCCAGCATCAGGTCACTGCTCTAGGTCAATCTTGGACCTCTATGTCTCAGACAAGACTTTGTCTTGCTGGGAGGCCCTGAATGCCACTGTCCCCTCTGGCCTCAGTTTCCCTTCCATAGACGCTGCCAAGTCTCAAGTGGCCAG